AAAAGCCAATCCAAATGGACACAAACTCCCTGTACACAAGGGCTGGGCACCTGCTACCTCTGACAGAACAGAGGCAAGTGTGCTGTGAGCACTGGAGGCTGCTGAGGCTAAAAAGCAGAGGCAGGACACAGAGCAGAAAGGAGGGTGAAACAGGTCAGACTTCACCTGTTGTTCCCCTACACAAAGCACAGAACCCAAAGGTCCTTCCCCTTGCTCATCCAGGAACAACCTTACCAAGTAAGGCCATTACCTGAATTAGAAATCACCTCTGAAGGCTCAAATCCCATTTAGGGATTTTTTAAAGTCAACAAGGGAAGTTTATACCTCCAGGTAGTGTAATTTTACAAAAAAAATACCCGAACTAGACACACACACAAAAGGGGCTAAGCCTCCCAATACCAAGGGGTTCCATGTTAGAAACTAATTTGCAAGAAGGCTATTTGGGCTTAAAGTAAAGCTCTTGAAAATTCAGAAGCACCACGTTTAAAACAGCCCTTTAGCTCCATTTGCATTAATCCTCCTCTCAACTATTAAGATCACATCTCCTTCCTGCAAATCATTGTCTCATTCAGTGAGCACGGTGGCTCATAACACAGAACTGTATCTGCACAACCCTAAATCAGGTATTTGCTGACTTACAGATCTAACTCTGCAACAAATGGATTTGAACATATATTTTCAAAGATAGTTTCATTTGTGTGTAATGCTATAGGCTCACACAGTGCTTTACAGGTGCAAGTAAAGATACAAAAATTGCCCCAAAGGAATTTTAGTTGAAACATATCAAAGCAACACTGAACTCGAAACATGATAAAATGCAAGTGAGACAGAGGAATAAATCAATAAATAAGCTGATGTTGCATTTTATTATTCTCAGTTGATGAGCATTATTAACAAGTATCGTTAGAAAACCTCCACTGCTACTCGAATTTACAAGAAGGGCTGACTTCACTCCATCCATGCAAACCCAGTGACTTCCATGGGATTACATGAAAGTAACAGGCTTCACTGGGACCTTGTAACTAAATTAAGAATTAAACCCTAATACATCAATTTGTCACACCAAATCCTAAACCCAGCAAATGGGTGGGCTGAAATATGACAGAGACTGACATAACCGTGCTGGCTGCCAACAACACACCACCTAAGAATTTGGAGGAAAAAAGGTTTAAATTCACCTTGGACAGAAACCTCTAGAGCCAAAGAATGAACAACAGTAAAGTTCTACCCCAGAGCAATAAGAAGCCAACTTTTACTATTCTTTTACTCCACTTCTCTTGAAAATGGCATTTCACCAAGTATGCTCATATCCACCTACATTACAAAAACACTCCCAAAAGTTCAGAAATTTTTTCCAAATCAAAAAACTGAAAACTCCCCATTTTCCAATACTGCTGATTCCAGGCTCCTCATATTACTGAACCTAACAAGAGTTTAACATCTTGTTAAGTGGCAAATATTCTTCAGCAGCACATACTATCACTCTAGAACCAGCAAGGAGAGGAAAAGGAGGAATCAAACCTCAGTCCTCTCATACACCAACTAGCAACATAGAGTCTTCAAATGGCACTTCATTAATGACACTTTTGATGTTAACAGATGTGGCAGAAAGGAATCCAGCTCAGTCTCCTATGTCAATTTTGATTTTGCAGTGCTCATAGGGATAAGTACTTTTTCTGTTAGTTATTCCCATTGTCCAGGAAGCAGTTTAGCTGAGCGCCACTATAACTGAAGTAACCCCATTTGTTGCTTTCATAAAATATGCAGTTTTGCCTTACATAACACAATTAAATTAATTCTTGAGCTATTTCCAGGTAATGCAACTAATTTAAACACATATTGATGACACAAAATTTTAAGAATGTAAATTTTAGTCGTGTCGGGATCTCGTCGGGCAATGCTGTTTCTCCTCCTAACTCGGACCTAATCACACGTAGTAACAATGAAACCATGCGCTTCATCCTTCTGGAGATTTTTCTAGTTCTGTCCCTCCTCGCTAAAACTAACCTGTGATGCACTATTACTGCAGTGTCAGACTCCGCAGTGTAGAGACAATCAGAGACAAACAGCAAGCTGCCAGGTAGCCAGGTTTGGCAGAGTCACCACTGAACCCAAGTTCAGCACAACAGTACTGGGGGCCAGGAGAGGCAAAGTGTAATGAGCTGCAAGCGTCTTGTGCAGGGCACCTTCAGATCTGTAATCAGGCTTACATCCAACTAACCTTTGGGAAAAGGCACAGTGAGAGGGGAGACAGCTACACTGTGTGTTATGTTCTGCATTTATGCTGTCAGTCACAATCTGAAAACACTTCAGTTTGAGTAGCAGGCTTGCACTGGTACTCACACTGCAAGCATATGTAGTTCACACCTTAATTTTCTTACTGGCCTCTTCGAAAACCAGGTTGAGTTCAGGTATTTATCTCACCTAGTACAGTTCTGTGACTGAAATAGCTGATGTGTACTCTTGTCTCACGTCCTTGCTGTCCACTGCTGTCTTTAGCATAATTACTACCTGCTAATCACATCAAACTTTGTGTGCAATTCTCACCTCTTTTCACCCTTGAGGCAAAAACAGCATCTTGCCCTAAACAATTTCGCAACACCTAGCATCAGGACAGAGCTGCAAAAATTCCACTTTGTTCAGAACTATAAAGGAATGAGTAAGATGAGTATGTGCATGCATTGCTTCAGGAACGGGCTCCTCGCTCACACAGTCCCCTCATTGACTGGAGGAACACTCTTCCCAGCATTTAGGAACCATAACACGTTTGAAGCAGCACACCCTTGCTTCTTATTCTGCATCCTCTGTACATGAGGAGCATTCCTCCCCTTCTCTGCACAGAGTATTCTGCCTCACACACGTTTTTCCCATACAAGACACTGGGTGCACAAAGCTAATTGCAGTATCTCATTACAAAGCACCTATGTGCTACTATTGTGCAGTCTAATTTATAACCCCCACCTAACATGACTGTGCTCACAATAACCTTTTAACAAGCGTCGTGCAGGAACTTGCAGCATCTCCACAGAAGCTATCAAAAAATGATTATCAATATTGTTACATCTAATCCACACTTTGTTAGTAATGTTATTACAGTACATTAAAAGTACACAGGTTGCTTACCCTTCTTTGTGCAAATTCCAGTAATAAGTGTTGCAAAAATAGCAGGATTCCTAAGAGTCACATAGCAAGGCAGTAGTTTCTGACCATGTGCCTATAACAGGTGCCCTGCATTCAGACAAATGAGCCCTCTCTGCTGATTGCATTCACAGCTGTAAAAACCCCTACACAATTACTCATTTGACTTCTACACATACAATCTTCTGCAGCTGTTACAATTGGCGTCAGGTGCATGCTCTAATACAGAGCTTGTAGATCGGTTTGCTCTTTTACCTGCATGTAAGAAATTCTGGAGACACACTTAGCAGAATCTTTTCCTAACTTCAGTTTACTAACAAGCTTAGAAACCATGCATGTTCATGTACTGCTACTTTTAAGAAAAGTTATTATGACATACTGTCCCGTTATAGCTCATCAATTCCCACAATTTAGATTTCACCTCTACAAATCTAACAAAACAAGGCCTATTAAGTTTATTACATTTTATGGAAGGCAAACCGAAAATTCCCTAATAAAGAGAACTCTAAAAGGATTTTGATTCCAGAAAAGAAACTACTATTCCTTTTCTCATTGGGGCAAGCAATGATGCTGCTCCAAGACAGGGGTTTTCCAAGAAGCTATGCAGCACCTTACAGATACAAAGTACTCTTGCGTGAAGACACTGCTGAGGCACCACGCTGTTGGGTGGGTTTGCACACACAGACAATAAAAGCAACTTTCACGCTCAAGCATTACCGGGGCTGCTCGTATTCGGGATGTGTACATCAGAAGTTGTCCAGCCCTGCCCGTCCGGAGGCGCGCGGGCCGCGCCGACGAGCGGTGCCGGGGGACTGCGATGCTTGAGGCGCTCCTCAGCTCCGAGAGCCCCCCTCAGCCCCCTTCACTGCAGGAGTAACTCCGGCTGCGACACCGCGGCCCCGCAGTACAGGCTGACGCGACCCTCACACCGCCCCCGGCCGGGCCGCGGTTCGGCTGATCCCGCGTGAGGGGGCTCAGGCTCCGCCGCAGGCCGGCCCGCGGCACAGCGCCCTCAGGCCCCCGGCCCCACCGGCAGCAAGTTGGCGGGAGGCGGTGCCCGCCGCCAAACTTTGTCCGCCGCGGAGGGGATCCCCCACCAGCGCGGCCCCCACCACCGCAGCGCGGGGAGCCCGCCGAGCCGCTCTGTCCGACCCCGGGGGCGACAGGGCACGCGGCTGCCCCGGGAGGCGGAGGGACCGGTGTCTCCGAGCCGCGCACGGCCACGATGGGGCACGGCGCAGACCTACTGCCCGCGCCGGAACGCGGTACGGTCCCGCAGCCCGGGCACGGCAGAGACCCGCTGCCCGCGCCGGGGCGCGACAGACCCCCGCTGCCCGCGCCGGGGCACGGCACAGACCGGGGCTCCCCGCACGTACCTGCTGCCCGCGGTACCCGCTCCGCCAGCGCCCGGCGCGCGCCCCGCGCGGGACCGGCGGCCGCGCGGGGAGGGTGCCGGGAACCGCCCGCGCGCGATCCCGCGCGCGCCTCCCGCCGTTACTGCCGGGTCGCCGTGGAAACGCGAGGCCGGCGCGCGGGTCGGTCCGCGGGAGCGGAGGGGGCGCGCGTGCGTCCGCCGAGCGTCACGCGGGCGCGGCCGGGCCAATCGCGGCGGCGGGTGGCGCGCGCTGTAGTACTACGGGCCGGGAGCCGAGCGGCGCCCCCGGCCCCGCCCCCGCCGGGCAGCGCCGCCACTGCCGCGACCCCCGCGCCGGGCCCGCGACCCCCGCCCGCTGCGGCGGAGCGGCGCAGAGCGCTGCGCTCACCCCGCTCCGTTCCCTTCCCTAGAGGCCCGCGTTACATAACGGCGCCGGAGCGAGCAGCTGCAGGATTACACCGAGCGGATTAGAGATTACGTTGATTCAGCAGATTGTCCTGTGCATGTTTGAGAAAGATTACACCGGCAGAGTTAAGAATACCCGTTTGCTGTGGTAAGCCGTGGTTTAAGTGGAACAAATTAACTCAATACAAAATTAAATGCACAAATGAGAAAAAGGAAAAAAAAAAAAAGAAAAAAAAGAAAAAAGAAGAAGTAAAATGCCCCAAGGTTAAGAACGTGCTTTAAATGAACAAAATAATCTCCCCTATGCTTTGGAACAGCTGCTGTTAGCAGCGACCAGCTAATCGTGCTGGATGAATGTTAAAAAATCAAAATCATTGTTAGGAAGACTAGTTATACTTGATTCCTGATGACTGACACATGAAATAAATATCTAAATTCTCACTACATACATTTTTAGTAACTCAAGATTATTTAAGTGGCACTGGTCTATTTTATTATGTCACCGTGTGCTAAACTGTCCCCTTTGTATGTTAGCCTGTATTATGGATGTTTAGAGTTCCGATTACTGGATCTCAGATTATTGACATTTGAGAGCTAACATTATGAGGAACACTACGTCTACCACTGAGGCATGAATAAAAATTAACCATGCAGAGACAAACTCAAAATCACATTCATTTCAGTTGATTTCTTACAAGAGTTAGGGATGAAACCTGGAAGGAAAAGTGCCCCAGAAGAAATCAGTAAGCACACAGAATGATAGAAGAATGGTGGGGTTCGTTTCCCAAGATTGATAGTGATTTTTTAATGCAAAGTCTTGTAATATTTAATAATTCCCCTCACATAAGCACACACAAGCTTGAGACTGGAATCTCTATCTCAAAATTACAAATTTGTAGTATGACTACAGCAGTTACATTGGATAGAAGCCTCAACTTTGTAACTTTGCCAACATCTGTAGGAATATCTCATACAATAGAGCTGGGGTTTCAGATGGAAATTTGCAGTTTGTTGCAAACTGCCTAGGAAATTTTGGCAATGGAAAGTTTTCCCTGAAATTCACTGTAATGCCTCAAATTTCAATTTCAACACCATGACAAGAATTTTACCTCATTTTAGTATATAATTAATCCTAGACATACTCTATTGGATAAAAATAAAAATGCAAACCTAAATTTTTACTGAAAGGATTTCTAAGAGGACTCAGTCATTTAGTGCCATTCCTGAAAACTGCAAGGGAAAGAACTTCAAAGAACTGTTTTCAAAAAAATTACCCTGTCAACCAAAGCACATTGAGATTAGTGAGCTACTTGTCATCTGCCTTAGCTTCCTGTCTTTTGTCAGAATTTCCTGGTATTGTGGTTGTCCCATCCTAATAGAAACTTCCAGTGTGTAAATTTGAGTAAAATATTGTTCTTATACAGATTTGTTATAAGATCATACCTGGAATTCTACCTTGTAGAGGTCTTCATTTGTTTCAGGCAGTTTGATGGATTTTTTTCTGATGCTCAATGATTATCTGTGCTCAGGTCAGTTATGAGCTTCAGACACTGAAGGTATGAGAAGTTACACCTAGGTGAGAAAAAACAGACTCCTTTTAGCAAGACTTCAGGACAGCTCCTGGTTCTTGGAGAAAGTACAAGGTGTAGACTACTGACTGCTTGACAGATATCAAGGACATCTCAGAAGGAAATCTATATTTAATCAGCATACCAAGCAATTTTTAAATTTTTTTTCCCTTCATTGTTTTCATGACACAAATATTTGAGCTCAATATTGGGACAGAATGAGATTTTACCTTTTTTGATTTTTAGAAAGAATACATAATGCAGTAAAATCCCATTCTCAAAGAGAGCTATAAGGTGCAACTTAATCTAAATGTACAAACAATATATATTTGAAATAGCCACATGACTGAAACAATCTTCTTTAATTTGGGGGAGAGTTTGTATAGAGATTAATTTTAAGAATGTTTGAATAGCAAAGATCCATAAACCAAAACCCAAATCATTATTCAGTGCTTGCTTTTCATCTGCCTGTGCTCATCAAGACTTACAGGTACCATGGATGCTTAGGCCAGCTAGCCAATGAAAGTACACAAAACCAAGAGGCAATACAGATTCTGATTTAAATATATGGGGAGTAAAGGACACAGGTTCATTTAAAGACAAATCTAATGAGTTCAAGACTTGTTCCAGTATATCTCAGTATACACAGGAGACCTAACTTTAATGTATAATCATTTCAAACAGTGCATTACTATTATTAATATCAGTTTAGATGACAAAGATGAGGGAAAAAAGGTAGAACTGATAAGATTTTTCAACAAGCTGGCACAGAGCAAAACAGGCTATATTTTAAATTTTAGATTAAAATACTCTTAACTGGATATGGAAAGTAACCTTTCACAAACTCTCAAAATACATAGAGTGCACACATGGGCGTGAGTTAGAATCACGTTTAGCAACAATTTCTGCTGTAGTACTTCCTTTTCTTTCATATATCATCTTATTCTCTAATGAGATAGAGAATCCAGTTCATTCTTTTTGGAACATTGATACATACTTGAACTCCTGTTCAGAGTGCAACACCTCAGAGAAAAACATCTAAATACGTGATTACCTAATGATGTACTTTTCAGTCTTAAAAATAAAAAAGTCAAAACTGTGGAGCTGTCAGCAACACCTCTTAAAAACCATCTTTAGACCTATATTATACTGCTTATTATCAGAACTTAAAAAATAAAGTTATGTTTTCACATTGGTGAGGAACTATTTTCATTCCCTCCCTTTGCCACCCTTTATTTCCTTGAATACACAGGCAACAAAGTTAGAAAATAAATAATTAGTAGTCCCACAGCCTTTCTCAAGCTGTCTTGCTCTTTGCACTCATCTTATAAACAAATTTTCGTACATGGAACAATTAGTCCTAGTCCCAAGAGCTGCTGAGTTGCATAGGACATCCATTTAACACACTGGTGCAGTAGAAAACTGTCAGCTTCCCCTAAGGGATTTTATGCCAGATCATTTGATTTAAGCATCCTCTGAAAAAGTTTAACCTACACCAGGAGCAGCACCAGAGATACCATGGTACATACTGGCAGTAAGGTGAAGAAAGGAGATGTGAGATCTCCTTTTGGCAGTAGAAAAAGTCAAGCTTTTGTCAATTCAAGGATTCATATCCTAATTAAAACTAGTACAGGAGCTAGTCTGAAATTTAGGTTGATATATCCTGCTTACATTTTATGAGAGCTATTGGATATTATACAGTTTTTTTGAGCTTTCTGTGAAAAGAGAAACTAAATGAACAAAGACTATTTGCTCCAATAAAACACAAATTTAAATCAGATTTTTGATGCCAGTGTAAAATATATGTGTGATACAATTTATAGGTACCACATTATCTGAGTATTTTGAATTTAGAAGTAAACTCTAGAACTGGTAACCCTAGAAAAATATGCAAGTGATCCTGTGAACAGGATGGGGTGTTACCCTATTCTGTACTTGGCCCCTGTACACGTTAGTCTTTGTTGTAACCTCACCCATACTGCTCTATATGAAAATTTCAAACCTTTTTAACAGCACATACAGAATCCAGATCTTGACTGCTAGAAAAATGAATCTCCAGGATGACTTATTTATTTTAAAAACAGGATTTTATTCTGAAGTGACCCCTGTTTATTTGTGCTACATACTATGTTAATTGTTCTTGGTTCTGTACACAGAGCAAAGCGTAGCTGTGAGGCAACTCAAGAGGACGCCTTTGGGTGGGGACCTTGCTGTTACAGCCCAGTATCACAGGGAAGTGCCATTTCAGATTTTCTTGTATGGACAGGACACTTCAAAAGCTAGAGAAGCCACCTGAGGTCCCATGAAATCCAGAACCATCTACTTATAAAGTAAGTACAAATGCATTACACCTTTTGAAATGGGCCTCTACAGAAAGTCAGCTTTTTCTTAGTTAAAGCTGCAGTATGGGCAACTATTTCTCATAAAGCTGGTAATTTATTTTATTTGATCATTTAATGGAAAAAAAAAATCTTTCTTTCAATATAGGACAGTTTGCTTAAATATTTACTTTGCATATACTCTGAAGAAAGAAAGAGCAAACAAGAAAATGTTCTATCATGTTAGACTTGTTCAGTAACCTATTTGGTACAGTAAACCTTGACTATACATAACAAGAAAACAGAATACAGCAAGAATATAGATGGTTATAGAGTTGGCATGTCTACAGAATAACTTTCTTTTAGCAATGTCAAGTGAACATTGGTTTCTGTCCAGGCAGAGGGTTTCTATTGTAGATTTTAAAAATCATTGTATAAGTTCTAATAAATTCACAGCTTATATTACTAACTTCACCTAACATCCAGACATGAGGAACATTCAAGTGAAACACATATTTGCTCTGAGACAAGACAAATTGGAATGTTCTCATTTGTGGAATGGAAGACTACTACCACCAAGATCTTACCTGACTAATTAGTAGTCTGAGGAATGGTTACATTTTGAAAGACCACTGACTTTCAAGGTGCAAGTGTCAATTTAATTAGCTAGCCAGGATCAATAAGACTGCATAAATGCATCAAGTATTACAATTCTGAATAAGCATGGCAGTTTTTAAAAAGTATTCATTGTTTAAACATGCTTTAGTCTGAATTTAGTTTTACTCTGCCTTCAGGGATTCACTGAACAGCAGACTTGAATGTTTGCCATTAGCTGTGAATTAATGGAACTTATATATAACAGTACATTACTGTCAGAATGCAACAGATGTCTTAGCAGAAACACTGAAAGTTGCATTCCAATAGCTATTTCTTCAGGGGAAAAGACACCAGGTTTAAAAATTGCATGCTTACTTTACATGTTTATCTTTAGGTGCTGTTGCCTCTGACTAAGAACAAAAATTGTTGTTGGAATAATATGCGAACAGGTAATTTCTTCCAAGTTTTTACTTGGACACGTACATCTATATAATTAGAATTCATTAAAATTGCATTGATTTTGATAGCTGCCACTGGAATTGTCACAACTTCTTTGCAGAGATGCTATCCCTCACTAATTTACCAGCCAGTGGTACAAATTCTGAAAGGAGTTGTTTGCTTTGATCAATCCTAATATTTCAGTTTGTGATTGATTAGCAGGCAGTCCAAAGTTGCTTACAAACAAGGAAGCGTGCATTGGCCCCCTTTTATCTTCTGTCAACAATTCCCACTCCTCTCTCTTCCTTTTTTTGTGTTAATAGTCTAGTATTTTAGCCTCTGGACTAGGCAATACAGCTGAGCCAACATGTGGCTTATCAATGCCAACAAGTGACTTGGCTCTTCGGGGTTAAAGTGGCATTGAGCCTGCATTTGTTTTTTTTTAATAGTCAGGACAGTCAGGTTACAAAAGTTTAAATGCAAACAGACCAGACAGTTTAGGGACACAGCATTGTACCAGCTACTAGGAAGAAAACTCTATCCCAGCTGAAACCAGGACACCTGCATGTCCTCAAAAAGAATAATTAGGAATACGTGTATTTAGAGGCTGCTATTACCTCTGTCAGTTTTAAGTACTCAGTCTAGCATTAGAAAGAACAACCTCATTTTATTCCTCTTCAATTCTTCCACAAAAATCCAACTTTTGCGTCCTACTTCTCTTTAATCTCTCACATAGAAGGGAGTATCAAAATACATACTTATGTGGTTATGTACAACATACATTGATAGAGATCTATTCATTTCAAAGCTAAATCTTTTGTATTTTTTAAATTGCCCATCATCTCTTGACTTGTTAAACTTTTCTGTCTTGATTATGGAGTCTGACTGTAGTGTACATTTGACTTTCAAAGCATACAATTTGCATTTTTAGATTAATATAATGTATTGACTTACCTCATGAAAAATCATGACACATTCACCAATGCTAATGTAATTGTGTTTTGGCTTGTATTGAACCCCTTCTGATTCTCCAGTATACTCTTTTGCATCATTGACTATAGAATTAAAGGGATTAACTGGTGCTTTCACACTTTGCTGTTAGAAATACAGAACTGTACCTTTGAAATTTGCAGCAAGCTACTGCATTTCAATACCACATGTGTGAAGCACAATAATACCTGTTTCGGTATTGTAGAAAATTACAATTTGTTAGTAATATTTTTTCCTAGTGTTAAAGCTTCTTGAATTTTCTTTTATTGTCTTTCATAAGTCTAACATTTACTTTATACTGTGTTACTAAGATAGCTTTACTAATCAGTAGCAAAGTATTAATACACAAAATAGAATTAATGAAAAGCACAACTGGATGGAGAAAGGGGTGCCTGATCTAGGTGGACATAGAGGTTTCTTCAAGTTTCTCATTACTGCTAAAATTAAGATTACCATTTTTCACTTAGTATTGGAAGAAAAGTCTATCTCTAGAAAGAAATAACCTATAGAAAAATTGTCTGTAATTACAATCAAAAAGGTTTCAAAGGCCTCCTAGGCACTTTTTGCTCTCTCTCTCTCTCTCTCCACCTCTCTCTCTTTTCTCTAATAGACCTAAGAGAAAGTGCCTGAGGTATTTTGCCAGAACAGAAATGTCTGGTTGGGCTGCAGAGCTGGTCCTTGATACAAAGATCACACCTTAACAGCTTTCACTCTCCCAAATGTTCCAAGGCCTGAATGACTGGAGGCATTTAGCATTCTTCAGTACTCTGCCCCTGTGCCAGTGTGAGACAGGTCTATTTCTGCATATAGATGAAGAAATAAAACCAATAAGGCAGGATTTTAAGGAGGTTAACAAATTCTCATTAATTCTCATAAGAATTTCTTTGAAACCTTTCCATGAGCTGTTCAAAAGGATTTTTCTGCGGGGCCTACCTTCTATCATCTCCCTATTCCATCTGGTAGAATTTCAACAGTTAACTCCCTCAGACACTTAACAGAGTTGAGAGCAGGTCAGAGTTGGGAGTTTTGTTTTATTTCCTTGATTCTTAAGATTGTACAGGTACTCTGATACACTGTTGATATGCTCAGTCCCCTTTCTTCATTCAAGGAAGGGTGTAGCCTTCAATTGAATTACACTCTCACAGGAGGTTACTGTTAGTTTTGAATAGACTAAAATCAATTAAGTTGTAGTTCTTGTTTAAAAACCTCCATGTTTTCTCCTGTTCCCATTTTATTCCTATTGCAATTGTACAGTTACCCATAGAAAATATTTTTTTAAGTCTTTTAATTGTGAACTTGCAGTAAATGAATTGCCAGCAGACAAGCACAGAAAGCTTCAGAGTTAAAATAAATTTCCATTTAATTTCTAGCAAGGTAGGACAGAACACGTATTTCTGAGCAACAAGGTCAAACATGAACAATTTTTCTAGCCCTTCTCCCCTCCTCCAGTTTCCTAATTTATCTGCACACAGGCAAGAAGGTCCAGTTACCATTTGGATGCTGGCAGTGGTATTTGGATTCTGGTAACAGGAACATGAAACAGAATTTCTCTTGGGCCGTGGGGTATAACTGTCTTCATCTTAAAATAATGTAAGGACTTTACTCACACTCCTACATCAATATCCTGTCACAGAAGGGGAAGAATGTAGGAAAAAAGGGGAGAGTGGAACTGTGAAAGCTGGCCTGGAGGACAGCAGGATGCACAATAGTTTTGTTGAACAGAGGTAGAAGTAGCTGAGCATTTCTGCCACTCTTAGAAAAGCCTGGCTTATTTTAGATAAGAAGCTGTAGAAGGTCTCTCTAGGGTAGAATGTCTTATGGCCACACTTCTTACTTTTTTTTCTACAGGAATAAAGGGGAACCCTAACTCTTTTTCTTGGAAGGACAAATAAGAAAACTAAGATCTTGATTCCTCTTAACTCTATGTTATGTATAGAACATGTCTTCTATACCTAAATAGTGACACAGCAGAATTCTTGTTTTCAGAACTTCTGGGAGAAATAACAGCAAGAACACCTAAAGTGTGAGGTAACACATGACTATCACCCCTGTGATGTCAGAAGACTGCTCTATTTTTGTTTTGATTGAGATACTGTGGTTTCATAAGATGGAAAGATGGAAGAAATATGTAAAAAAAAAAAATAGATGTATGTATATGAAATTAGTTACTGATGCATTAAATGTGTCATAAATATATTCAGTCCAACTTCCAAATTTAGACTGCTTTCAGGAAGAGTGAAGTGGTACAGTTAGATATGCTTTTTAAGCACAAAATGGACAAGTGCTGCTACAAGTGCCAACATTAGCGTCCTTTATTTGGGGTGTTATTAGAATGCCTAATTATGTTTAACACATTAAGAATTCATCAAAGAAGCCTACTGAGTTAGGAAAAATCCTTTTTGAGATCTGTGGAAATAAGATTGTAGCCAGCAATCCTGTACATTAGTGAGTGCTTGCAGGCTGTCCCCTGGTTTGGCTATTGAGAATAGGGGTGGGGAAACCTGGTGGTGTCCCAATGCTACAATTGAGCTTTAATGCAGCCCAGTGCAGTCTCAAAATGTCCTGGCCTTTACCTGGGACTATTCTGGGTGTATCTGGAATAATTGACTATTGCAGGAGCTAGTTAAGCTAAAGATAGTTTGGTTTGTCCTGTTCCAGTGGCACAGACTTCACATAGATCATCATGTGAATCACTGTACTCACTATGGTGAGTGGTCATGAAAGGCATAGGAAGTAATGAAGAATTCAAAAGTTTCCCTTACTGCAAGAGAAAGTGTGGTTTATTCATCTAATTTAGGTGTTTCTTGTCTGATACAGTGATAAATTGTTGATCTTTTCTGCATATTGTTACATGAAACTGTTCTGAAAACTCTATGTTGCTGGTCTGGAAGGCAAGACCTATATCTTTTCTGCTCATAGGTTGGTTTTATTTGTGTGGTGGTTTGTTTTTGTGTTTTTTGGGTTTGAAGTCTCTATTTTTCTCAGTGTTTGTTTTGGTCTTATTTTTAAGATCATGAAGAACTCTGTGGCACCAGTTATGGATCTTTTTGTCTAAATGGAGGGATTTGTTATATGATTCCTACTGTATCCAGTCCATTCTGCAGGTCAGTGAAACTAAAGTTTGTGTGTTTAAGTGTTGCACAGTAGCTGTCTAAAGACTGTTTATCCATTTTCCTTCTTTAAGGAATCACTGCTAAAGCATTAGCTAAAAGAAAATACCAATTACCTATCACTTACCTAGCTTATAGAGACATGGCAATATGAGAAAAATAAATGTATATACTTGTGGTATACTTGCTTGGGAGATGGAACAGTATACAGTTACATATGCATTCAGGATTTCTATATTATATATATATAGAGCCACATTTCCTCATTTCAATACAGAAAGAACAAAATACCCTTTGCCTCATGGAATATAGACTGTGGGAAAGGCATTCAGAAAGGCAGAGTACAGTTTTTCTTACAAATTAATTGTATTGCAAAAATTCTTGTAACATAAAATGGCCTGACCTGAACAAAATGCAGAGGCACAAAAAATAATACAGTCTTTTAAGGGGAGAAAGAGGATGTAATTTAAGACTTACTGTGTTCTTCAAATCTTGCTGAAATACTCAAAGAGCAGCTTAAAGTGACAGCCAAAGACTACTTGATAAAGAAACATCAAGGCAGCAAATACAGATACTTCTCACACGACTCCATAACAGAACCATTCTTCCTTTTGAAGCCCATGTAGCAAACTGGAAAAGAAACACTTCCTGGTTTTGCATGTGGATACATTTCCTGCATAAATACTGCCCTATCTTTTTATTCTCTGATTTACCAAGATGTAATATGCTAAATAAAACTGTCACTTTTCAGTGTCCTGAGTTATCATTCATCAAAACAAATTATGGTTGATTAATGGGTTTGCTTAACAAAAAAATAGGCTTTCAGACAAATATTACATATGCTTAAGGCTATTACCTTTATTCTTCCGTGGCAACTTCTGTTCCCTCTTCTGTCATGAGCCATAACTAATGATAACTGAATAAAACATCTTTTCCCAGATGCCTAATTAAAATATTACTTTCTTTTGTTTGGGACAGTTCAATCTAAGTACTTAAAACCAAGCACGCAGACTCATTTAGTTAGGGAGAAAAGAGGCAATTTTATGGTAAACATTCATTGAAAAATATACACAGCATATTACTGTCATCGTTCAGTGTCACAATGAATCAGATCCAGGAGTGAGATTAAAGCTCTGAAGTGCTGTATGATGATTTATTCTATTCGCTAAACCTTGCAAGCTTATGCAATATAAAATGAATACTACACAAAGAAAAAGTAAAATATTTTGAAATACATGTGTTTTTTTTTACCTAGAATTCATATTATTTCCTATTATTGTACATAAATGAAAAATGAATGGTTAAACTAAAGAGCAGCAGTTACACAAATTCAAAGCACCCGCTCAACTACTGCTGGACTGTGTAACAAGGAAGATTTATTCAATGAAATGACTATAAGTATGAAGTAAAAAATACTCAGAAAAATCTATTCTTCAGGAGCACAAACTAGTCAGCATAGGTAATTTCCACTTTAAAAGCTCCAAATGGAGTAATTTTCAATTCAGGTACTGTAGGATTTTATAATCTGCTGAAGCAGAAAAGTAACATCTTAAGAGCAATTTTTTTCTACTCAAGCAATCTTACTGCATTTAAATTATCAACTATTTTTTTCTGTATCTAGTGGTTGATTATGAAGTTAGATGGGTTTAAATAGCAGCATTCTATTTAAGCACATCTTCATTCCAAGCATGTTTCTTAATCAGTCAGAGAAGGCTAATTATAGATGAGAAAGGTTTTGTTTACACACAGATATCTTAGTAATCAGCAGTGATGTGAATAGAAACAACAGAAAAAATGCATCACTATTCAGCAGAATTCAGAAAATATTTGGTGCTTTGGAACTTCATGTCATCATCACACATTTGCAGTTTCTTTGATGAAGGTTTCTGCCAAATCCCACCCAAAGCTCCCCAGTGCTCTCAATGATCATCTCCTACTGAAAGAAAGCTCAAATCACTTTTTAAAATCAAGGGCTGAATGATTGTTAATTAAAAGGAGGAGATGGAGAAAGAGCAGACTAGCAAACTGTAAAAATACCTTAAACCACATTCTCCTTCACATGGTACTCAGTTATACAAATGTGTTGTGCTCAGCAGAGTTAGTCCAGATTACCCTATGCAACATCACTGGAAGTAATTTCACCATGTGACTATGAAAAATGCATCATTCTTTAGAGATATGTGTTTTGTAGCATGCTAAAAATGAAGAGCTGCTGTTTACCTTTGGAATTTCAGTTATTTTCATCATTCAGAAATGGATATATACAAGGCAGAGATTTAATATCAACAGAACATTAGTTGACCCTCATCCATGTGCAACAGTAACAGATTTTAAATACAGCTGATGTGTGTTAAAACATGAGGTTGCCCATCTGCCATCTTCCCTCGCTGCTTTTCCTAACAATGAGTTAATATTCTCAGCAGCAAAAGGCACACCTGTCACCATAAGCCAGATGAGCTTCAAACCCAGGAACACTCAAATGAACTAAATAAACAGGCAGCAGGACAGAGAAGGATGAAAAAGCAGTTGCCTCAGGTGTATCATAAAACACAAGGCTGAAAGCTGTTTGCCTCAGCACCTGATGCACAGCTGTCCCATGATCATTAATTAATGCACTGCAGAATTAAGTGAAGATTTGGGTTTCTTGGGGGAAGCTCTGCTACCCCCATTTTTTTCTTACACTTGGCAGATTTCTGAGAGCATTCTTTTTGTATTTCAAGCAAAATACAGATGGTGTAAGACAACACACACAGAACTCTGCTTCAGAGGGCAGTGCACAGAAATTAACGATGAATGCTCTCATTTTGGGGCATAGATCCTACTCTGTGGAGGGCTAAGTACTGCAAGAGACACAGGCAGACCTTGCAAATCTCCCTGAAATTCTTGTGTATCTTTCAAGGGTATCTCTTCCTTTGCTTCCATCCTAATGGAAGCTCTCCTCCACCTTTCTTATGGTAATCCAGTAAATCCTTGCAAATTCCTTCTGCCACTTTCTGTATACTCCCTCCCACTCCTTGCCTGGCTGTCTGTGATGGGCCCTTCATCCCCCATTTCCAACATCCCCACAAGTCATACACTTGCTGTGCTATCAGCCTTCAGAATACACACCCTGCAAGTTGCCAGGGAAGGGCTTCCCACTCATCTGGGCTTTTCTTCTTTCTCTGCCTCCAAAAATACACTTTAATGTACCTCAGGGTCTTCTGGAAACAAGCTGTCCAATTAGTATTTTTCAATTCTGCTTTTGGCTTGAAAGGTAGTAACAAAAGTTAGAATACACATCAAAAGTATAGTTAAAAAGGGTCCATGATTAAGATTTCTTTTTAATGGGACATAAAATATAAAACCACTATCTTATGTGCTTGAAAACTATTAGCAGTCTGAATTAATATAACTGCCAGATATGGAAAACTTGCCACACAAACACGTAGCTAAGGGAAAGGAGAACAAGCCATGCTTTTAGGGAAGAATAACCCATTCTTTCAACTTCCTTCCAGCAGGAGCATTTTCATTTATTTTCTGTGTATAGAGGGCAACAGTTTTGAAACTTGTCTAAATGCAAAACTTTTTAAAAAGCTGCTTGGGTGTCCAATTAACTTTGCCATTGCTTATTCACTTTGGCTCTAAATTATTTTTCATACTTACTAGATGTTCTTAGACTGTATGGGTTAGGACAACTTTAAGAAGTCTGTTACAGACTGAAAATTATGTTGATTTTGAAGTTATCAGCCATGTAATCTGAATTGCATTGATGAGCAGATAATTTCTCATATTTTTCTGCTCAGAGCTCTGTTTTTACATGCAAGTAGGTTTTATGCCAAGAAGTATTCAATATTTTCCTGACTAAAGGAAGACTAAATGAAAACTAAAGTCAACATCCAGATAGTATAATGCAAAGCAGTGAGAATCTGTGTGCATACTTGACTCACATTCTACTTCCTACTTTTACAGTCTGTCAGATACCTCCTTATGATGCCCACCCTAGACTGGCAAAGAAAGAAACTTTACCTTCTTACTAAATCCCAGTGCCATAGGATCATTTGCACTGTCCAACAAACAGCATCTGAAAGGAGACAGCAGAAATGCCCGTGTTACTGCAAGGCCGTTATGTTTTTAGTTACTAATCAGATTGTAAAAGATCAATGTAATTGCAGACCTGCTGGTCATCTCCTGACATCTTATCCAATGCAGCCTATTTTCTTCCACCTTGCCTTGATGCTGATGTGATTACCCTGTGCTGAAAGATTCCATGGATTCGTTCCATATGCTGGTGTTTTGTCTGGAGCTCCTATAGGACATTAGTATACAACAGTTAAGGCTGGCTCATCTCATCTGACAAGAGGTGTGGGTGTGTGTGCAGCCATCTAGGAGAGAGAAATCTGGATGCCAGCTGAAAATGGGAGGTTTTAGTCATGGATTTTCTTCAAACATTGAAGGCTGCTGTCTTTCAACTCTGAATTAGAAATTCTGTTTTCTTAGAGGAGGAAAGACCTTTTTTCATTTTAAAAATCAACTCTGGAATGCTGCATAATAGGGCCATTTAAAGGCAGCACCGGACATGTGCAGCATCAGCAGGTTAACAGCATGGAGGTGATGTGCAACAGCAACACCTGGCCAATGAACACAAACTCAGTGAGTGCAACTCCTCCTTACCACAGCCTGCACCTGGCTTTTGCCCCAGCTAACTCAAGTGCAGGTGCACCAGTGCCTGCCAAGTCAACAACTGCTCTTGTGCTCTACTTTTAGGCATCCATTATAAACAAGATAAACTGAGTTGCTGCTGGCTTTTAAGGCTGTGTATAGTAAGATTGGCTGCCTGTAGGAGACGCTATACAGACACTGTTAATAGAGACTGTGTTTCTGTCTTGCTTGCAGTCACTGCATAGGTAACTCCACTGAAATGATTGGAGCAACAGGATAAGCAGATCTTCTGAGAGAATTCCACTGATAATTATTGAAGTCCGCTTAGTTTCTTTCTCACCTGTTTTAGGAAAGGACTTGCAGAAGAAACCTTGCTGGGTTGTCTTAAAGCATCCATTGCTTCTGTCTTTAACATAGGCCTTTACCTATTTGTATATCATGAAAGGTGACTTCATAAAAGCTTGTTCAAACAAATACTTGAACATCTGGATTTTCAGAAATGCCCTAACTGTAGCACAGATTGGTCACATTAGCTACAATTTTATTATTTAAATGTAACCCAGAGATACCTCATCTTAATTTTCCTGTTTCCATGAAAATTTTTATAATTTTTAGGCTATATGACAGCATTTTCTAGATAGTATGGAATCACTTTCAGCAAGTTTGTTAACAGGCCAGCCTAGAGAAAGTGAATGAGTAGTTTTGTAATCCCTAATGCACTGCTCACAGTTAAACAGGTACTATCAAACTAGCTAGTCATGTTTCTAGAACTTGCTTTTGTTACAACCATGCAGAATTAATAGGTTCAGCATCCAGGATGTTTTAAGTTTAGCATGTGCTTTTGTATGGGTTTTTTTCTCTTTGCTATAACCTTGGATTCATATAACCATAGTGTTTCCCTTACCATCTTAGGCCCTCAAGCTCTTTTCCCTCTTAAAGACTTCTGACTACCTTAAGCATCTGGTTCTATTTTCTGTTTTGTAGGAAGTGCTACGATCTCAGTGACCCTTTTGCTATGCTGTCAACACATTCCCAATTCTTTTCCTACAGTCTGCAGAACACAAATACAGCTTCCATGCACTGTTCACACGAACTCACCCTCCTGTATCACAACAGTTCAGTAACCCTTACCCTTTACCTGATCCTCTCTGCAGCTACAACTGTCTTGCCTTCCTCCGCCTTCATTCTGCTCTTTAAGCTACTGACTTACTCCCTTTACACTCATTCTTTAGAACTTTTCCATGAGCCTTAATTTGATGCCAAAACCTATTTTTTTTCTTCCTGTATCATTTTAGCCTTGCATTATTCTCCAGTTTTCATTGCTATTCAAGAATACTCCTATGAATTTCTTATTCCATTTTCTTTTCCTGTTACTCTATTCAGCTCTCCAAAGCATTTCTCTCTCACTTGCTAGAGAACAATGCCCCACTCAAACTACACTTCTATTCTTAAAGTATTCTACAGTATTTCAGAAATAGGCCACTGAAAAGCCACTACACTTAGAATAAATATCTGGAACATTATCTCAAGCAATCAGAGCAGTCTGCCTACCCTTGCTTCTCCCAGCAGTGAAACATCATGACTTTGAAAAGCCTGAGATTGTCCTTAGTAAATGGTGTCTGTTTGATCAGTTGCATAGCTTTAATATCTGATGATAATTAGATGTCTTTTTTTAGTGTCTAAATCTTCCATTATATCTCCAAAGACAAAGAATTAAAATAAAGGGGTAGTAACTGTGCAGTGGTTTAGGCCAGCAGTACTGAAATACCGGTCCATAACCTACAGAAAGTGTAGTGGGATTCACATCAGGCATCATGTCAGAAAACTCACAGGGATCCTTTGGTCTTAGTTAGATATGCTAAACAATCTTCTTTTTTGGCAGTTCCTCCCCTCTCCACCTTCTTAAACTTCATCTGAAATTATACCTTGCAGCTGCCAATGGCAGTTGAGAACTTCAAGTATGTTGCAGTTTAGCCCATTTTTCTCAGCTGGAGCCTGAAATTGCTTATGTCACAGATTATGACTTCAGTGCCAGAAATAGCAAGAAGGAGCAAGATCTTTAGTAATACAAATGGAGAGAAGCAAATTTACATATATAAAAAATACACAGAAAATGTAGATATTGAAAGAAGTGCTTTCCATTTTCTGTAATTAAATCAATTCCTTAAGAAAATTTAACAGAATAAGTGCAAAATACATAATAAATGAAGATTAGCTTAGCTTCAACCTACCTATTTTTGACTGAATATGAATTACTAAGCCATTAATTTTATTTATTTTTAATAAAATATACTATTTTACCATGGTAAAATACCATATTCATTTTAATCCTTTCTTCAGAAGTTTTCAGAAGCTCAACACATAAAATAAGCATAGTAGAGTAGATTTCTACCTAGGTTTCTCCAAGAGGGGGTTATTCACCAAGCATGTAACATGTTCTACCATGAATTATTACACTGCATAAACTACTTTTGCAGTTTAAACTGTATGATATCTCAGTGAATTCCCATTTCCTTGATCTTGTTAGCTGACAGTACTATCTTCAACAAAGGAAACCAGAAAGTTTCTTGAAACAGGGAAAAGAAAGCATGACTACTGTGTGAGAACCAGTGGGATGACACAGTTAACACTTAAGAAATGGGCCTAATTAATTGTCAGTGATGAGTATATTAAACTTAATATATAAAAGCAGTATGGATCAGAAACTTGATGCCCAACAAAAAGTTCCCTTTGTTCCAGAAATATGAGGTGAGAGGAAATTCTGTAAGACTCGCTGTGAAGCAAACATAACTGTTGAATTGTGTCATAACAGGTTGTCTACTCAGAAGAAGCCTTTATGCTTTTCATTGTAGATGACAAGCTACCATCTAATCCAAATACAACTTGGTTTCCCAGGTGCATTGAGAATTACACAGGCGCTCGTTGTGAGGAAGTTTTGCTGCCCAGCATCAAATCTCAAACAAAAGGTGACCTGTTTGCAGCTTTCTTGGCTTCCCTTCTTCTTCTAGGAGTTCTTGTAATTGGAGCATTCTACTTCCTTTGCAGGTAAAAGTGATTCATAAGGCTGAAGCTATTCAATCAAGTAGAAATTTCTTCTGGTAATCATGTACTAATTATATGAATGTAAAAGTATGTAATGAATTATCCATAAGGTTGTATGGTTATTCAGCATAATGAATGTGGATGTCTCAACTTGTTGCTTGTAATATTTACTTCCTGGCTTGAAGTTTTCTCATTGTCATTTCTCTTACAGTTGCTTTGTAAAAAAATAGTATACCCCTAGCTGAGATGTTATAGTCTATCTAGAGTTAGTGCTAACTTTTTAAAACATTAATCTACCTTGTGTTGTCCAAAGACTGAGAAGTAGAAGTAAATTAACAAAGTACTTAGGGATCAGAAACTGTTCTTACTGAATTGGCAACCAAAGCAGCTGGTGCCATTAGCTCCTAATTCCTCTACCACACCTCGTCTAAAAAGGAAAACTAAAGAAAGAATGAAATTGAAGAATACATCCAGGCAGATGTTTGCTAGCATTTAGGACAACTCAGAGAGCTAACTAATTTGTCCAGGATGATCCATGTTTAAGTAGAAGGCAAATGTCAGTGCTAGGCAGCAAGTGCTGCAGGGTTGGTTTTAGTGGCATTTTAGACGTATTAGGACTTGGAATGAAAACAAATAAACAGTTACTGGGATTGAGGCAACTATTTGATGTTGTACATATATCACTACACTTATACCAAACCCAAACAAACTTATCATCTTCACCTGCAATGCATCTTCCTCTGTCCCCTCTTTATTTTTAGAGTACAGCACTTTTTGTAAGAACTCATTTTGCCATATACTATTAAAATGTGTTTATGCATCTCTATGCCTCTGTAAGGCAACTTACAGTCCCTCTACTTCTTTACCATCACAGACTTGCAGCTTCTTCTCTTTCCTCCTATACTGCATTTCTCCTTGGTTATAATAACCAAAGGTTCTTGCATTTCTGTTCTCTGTGCTCCCATGGTCACATTGCCAAATCAACCTTTCTGATCTGTGCCTTTCAATAAGCGACCTTTGGAATAGCTGGTCTAGTTTTACCTCAGCTGCTGTCATGGAAACCCACTGAATACCAGCTTCTACCACAGCTGAATGTATTTAGAAGAGATAGAGAGCATTTGATAAAACTATTGGTATAAAAAAAACCCTTGTTGTAAAGGATACCCCCCACATTAGCAATTTTAATTAAATTAATGTTGCTTAGCCATAGAATGCCACAGCAGTTGTTTGCTAAAACACATTTGCAAATTACTATAAACTTATTTGAACAAAATATAGTTTAAACTAACTCAAGAAAAATTCATTCAAGTCTCATAGAGATACAGACATTATTTCTTTAGAAGTAAATTTGTATCTGAGAAAAGGAAAAAAGTCTTCAGAGAGTAATGTGTTAAAAGATCCCTTTTCTCTCACAGTAAAATTAGGGGAAAGCTAGAGACAATCTATTGAGTTTTATGGCCCAAGTACAGAAGCTTTGAGTGGCAGCAATGACAGGTCTGTGAAAATTCTTTTATTAGACATTTAGAACACCATCTTCTCTTTACTCAAACTTTACCTAACTGGCAGAACAAACAGTAGTGCCTCTTTATTAGCAACACAAAAAGGGCAACAACTCAGTTGTAACATAGTTGTCCTTGAACCCTATTTTACACACCAGATTAACTTGGGAAATACCATAAAACCATTATCAACTTCTTTAGTATAGATGAAAGAACGTACCTGGCTAAAATTGTCTTGTCTTACCTTTACACTTCAGAGGCTGATGTAGGATGATCATCTGCTAGAGACGCTCATCTAATAAATGAAACTCTTTATGTCTGTAAGTCCTTATCTCTTGGCTGAAGCAACCAACACATGAGGAGTCTCAAGTGGATACTTTAATCTATTCCCTTCTTTTCAGCTGAGTGAATGAGGATTATTGCTAAAAGCTGTCATTAATCCAGACTTTTTTCCTCAAACTTCATCTATCACCTATATCTTAGAAGAGGGCAGAACTAAGGCTTGTAAGGGGTAGCTAAGAGTTTGCATCATCTTTGACTTGGCCTCCTAACAGGATATATTAAGTTTAAAATGTTTAGAGACATACTGTGCTGCAGTTTCTACTATTCCACTTCTTTAACAAAGACATTTGATCCACAGTCAGAGAGCAGAAAGCCTTTTCCCTGATACTGTGTTAGTGAGTGTTTCCATGGCTCTTTCAGCAGGGGGTTCTAGTGAGATTTTAGTATAAACAGTAATGTAATCTGGAGGGGTGCAGAAGGGGAGATACTAATTGAAGTTCAGGACAAGACAACTGAATATCTATAATTGTATATCAAATAATTTGGAATATAGAAGTCTGTGTTCTATTTTCTTGTCTGTATCATTGTACACCCCTTCCTTTCCAAGTTTTCTTTCTCTCAGTCTATTTGGGGCAGATTTGAGGACCAAGCATGTGCAAGTGCATTTCACTCTCCCTAGAAACAAATCCATTCAACACACAAAGGTAGAGGTTTCATTGCTCTGCTTATAAAACTTAATCATAACAGGGAAAGTAATCCATAAAAGAGTAGGGCTGCACATGAAAGCTCTGGGTGAACAGTGGGAAATAATTCTCCTTTTACATTTAGCTGAGTCATCACATTTTTATCAACTGATGATTTATTTTTTTCTAATCTGCAGAGAGCACAGAGGCAGGACAAACACAGATCTAGCCACTCTCCATCTTGAAACAACCTCCCACCCTCTCCAACAGTGCTGATAAAGCATGTCCTTCTGATATGGGCAAAACAGGGAAGTGTACAAAAATCCCTGTTATTACACTGCAACTGAGGAACAAATGGCATATTCTGCTTCCAGCAGTTCACCAGTCAGACCAGGTCCATCTGGTCTTCTTCCTCCAGAAACATATTGAACCAGGGTTACTGGAAGAAGACTAAGAAAGGTAGCTGATGAGAAGATGTGCCACATGAGCCAGTTTTTCTTTAAAAGCAATAGAGAAGCCTAAATGCCACACATATAGCTCAGAGGAATAGAGCAAACCCTAGGGAAAACCAAAATAAATCTGCAATTAATTTCTATATTTCATCATAAGTGCATGCTGAAATGCCAAATTACCTGTAAGGTAAGTGTAATATTGATGAACAGGAACTCAGCCAGCCAAAACAACAGGGTCTAGGAATAAAGCCATTTAAGCTGTCCAAGACAACAGATTTTGTGGAGGAGTTACATCACCACAGGACACAAACTGGACAGAACAGAGAATAGCTCATGACTTTTCTCTAGAGAGATATGTAATTACTATTAAAAGAAAGGGAACAAAACAGCAAATTATCAGCTCTATTTACAAGATTAACTTCTCAACAAAGTGTGGAAAATTTCAGATCATTTACAAACACTAAGAGAATTGATAAATAGTTCTGTACTATTTACTAATTGTTTAAATAAAGACCTAAGAAATCAGACAAACAGGAACATTACCTTGAGGAAAGAAGCCATATATTTCCAAATGCCGTACTGCCCTCTGATTCTGTTCTTCTCCCTCAAATACATGCTTCTCAAAACCAATGAGTATTAATTAGAAAGTAATTGGAGAAGATCCATGTAACTTTTTTCAGTTGAAAAATCATTTCATTAATTTATCTCTTCTGGATAACTTTTTTTGCTGTGTATGTTTTTCTCTCTCTGTTGTCTCCTTTTTGTTTTTTATGGTCAGGAAAGTTTCCATTACAAGGACAAGTTCTTCAGAGTGTGGTGCCAACCTAGTTGAAACTACAAGCAGCAATGGCTGCAACAGTGAGTACAGCTGAAAATCAAATGACTGGACTCTACAAGGGAAGTGGGGGAGGAAGTTTTTATTAATTAAAGTCACGTGTTTTGTTTATTTTTCAGAAATAACAATAGCCTAAAGCATTAGAGTAGAAGAATGTTGGGGAAACAACATGCACAGCAACCCTAAGAATCTAAGTTGTAGAATCTAAGCTGAAATGAGAGAAGAAAGTTGACTGAAACAGGAGGCTGACATGTTGGAGAAGACTATGTCTAAGACAGTTGCACTTAATGGAGTTTCTATGTACTTTTAAAGCTGTATCAATTATACAGAAATCATTATAATTTATGCTTGAATTCTGTGACATTTTTTATGGTTACCAATAATGCACAGGTAGACACATAATTTTGGGTTTTACTACATGGGAAATAAATAAAATACATGAGATATTTTATGCACATATATGAGATATTTTATGCACATATGCACAGAGAATAGGAGATATTACAGGATTTTAGCGTGAGGTGATACCATGAATTTTTGATAGGGGTTTTTCATTTTTCACAGGATTGCCCCAGAGGAGCTGAAGCCTGACTTGATTCAATAGCTTCAAAATTCATATTTGCGATACATGTCCAGAATTTGGCTTGTTTCAGATACTCTTACTAGAAGTAGGGGAAAAACCCCTACCTTTCTCACAGCTAATACTTACATTTTTGGTTTTTTTTAATTGTAACACAACATCAGCACAAGGTACCATTGATAGTTTATTGTCCAGCTTCCTGGCAGATGATTTTAATTCAAATTAAAGGGAAATATTAAGAAAAGAGATTGATAATGGTTTAAAAAGTTTTTTAGGCAGAGTTTGGTGTACATTCCTAATACTAAGCAAGATTATCTTCCTTGATGGTTTTAAATTTTGTCTGGCTTTCTTCTGAAATTTTCACTACTGAGGGAAATTCAAACCTTACCTTGAATGTTCCAGTTGATATTTCAGATAGCAGAAATCAGGAATTTTGTTCATCAGGTCAATTTTTGACACAAAATATTATCCAGACAGGTGTCTTGGCTGAAAAAAATGCTGCCCTCTCCAAAGATTTATTTATTTTATTCACATAAGCATCTGTTGATCACACTGATACATTATATACCACACTTTGGTCCTTTACAGGATTCTCTTACTCAAAGAGAGGCCACCTGCCATGTCTTTTTTTTTTTTGCCTTCACAACACAAAGAGAATGTCTGATTAGTCAGAGGCATAGAAAATGTGAACTGAACAATTTTGTTTTCAACTTATTTCTAGCACTAGGGGCTGAAACCAGCAAAAAATCAGATACTTTTTTCCATAATGGCACACTACCAAGCAGGTCATTATATGGGACTTATAAGGTTGTATTGAAGGGAAGATCAGCTGAGAAAATTCAGGGATTGAAAGGAGAGAAAATTCAGAACAGAGATTTATCTCTGAAGGAAACAATCTGAAGATGTATAAAAAAATAGGTGCAGAGAAAATGTTGAGTAAGCTCCTATTTCTAGGATGTCAACTACATGCTCTAGTATCAGAAAAAGCAGTGTGTACTTTTTATCAATGTAGACCAAAGCACAGAGGGATGGGGAAGAAAATGCACATGGGTACAGTGCATAAGGTGAGAAGTCAAAATCACCTTACAATGGCTACTAGAACACAAACCATTACCTTCTGAAAACTCCTGTCAGAGAGGTCCAAGTCCAAGTTAGTGCTCAGCATGTGAAAGGAGAGTCTGAGGGCACTAAATCAGGTAGAGGACCTGATCCAGAGACTAAGTTATATAAAGCACTGGAAGATCACTTTCTCCCCAAATTAACCAGTCTTACATGTTATTTTCTGGATTTCAAATCTTTAGCATATAAGCTGAAGGAAGCTGATAATATTGTTTTAAAGGCTAGGAAGGATAAAAGTTATTTTTTCATCACATAGGGACAGGCCACTGTTGAGATGTGTAGCAGTACTGATAGCTACATCAGAATCAGCATTACCTGAAGTACTTTGTACATCCTCAGTGAAAATTAATCAGAGATGACAGCTGGTAGATCACTTTGCTGTGTTATTGATCATGAGACAATCAGGCTTACAGTTTGGTATACTGTCTCCACTGAAGGAGGAAAAAGCTTGTGGTCATCTTAACTGGCAATTCAGGAATGAGACACTAAGTAAGAAATAAATGGACTGAAGTTATTGTGTATAAGCTCTTAGAATCCTTTCAGCTTTCTCTAGACAGACATTGAATAATTATTCACTGTAACTGAGCTTGTTTGCATTATTTGGGAAACAATCTGTACAAAAAGTAGGGCTGAATAAACGGACCCCATGGTTAAAAGTGAACAAGCTGATTTATGAAACACTTATCTGTGAAGGAAATGCTATTAGCAATTCAGACTGCCTCAAACCCACTGCATCTAAGAACATTTCAGCTTCTAAAATTACTTCAGTTCCCAAACTTTGTGATTATGATGTTCAAATCAAAAAGACATCATGCTACAAATTCATTTTAAGGTGGTCAAATGCCACAGAAAGTACAGGGTAGCCAACCTTATATATAATTTAATAAAATAGTGCAACGCTTTAGCAATGATTGCTTACAAAATTAATGAAGTAGTCCTGTGAGCAATTAAGCAAACCCCAGTTCCAATGGATCAGATCTCGTGGCTGGAGTCACTGGAGTCTTAAAAATTATTACATGTTTATGAAAGAGTGAGTAATAAGGGTCCTCACCTGTCTGACTCCCATTTTCATGAAACATAAGTTCTCATGCCTTTGAAATTACCTTTCCACCAGCTGAAAGGTAAGAAATTTGTTATGTAGGGAAGAAATTGGAAAAGACTAATTTCCTAACTCCATTACTGTGATTACCCAACAATCTATTAGAGTGTTATGGTAAAAATTCTTTCATACCTGGGGATCATGTTATCCTGCCAGAACCTTGTAGTAAAAGTCTCTTTATAATGTATTGCAAAAATCTTTTGATCTCTTTCAGAACTAACAGCCATTAGCGGGAAATTTCTTTATAGACCTATAAGTGAGAGGTTGCTTCTATGTTACTCCATATAGAATTGTTTTTCATTACACTGGAGCAGAGTACAGTTAAAGTTATAGTTAAAGAAGAAAGTCAAATAGCTTTTCAGAGAAAATGAGGATTTCTCTGTGCTGCATAGTCATTTGATTTATAATGTTAAATATTAAGGAGAAAAATCAACAGAAGTTCATTTGGTAGCACTACCTATTTTAAAGATAACTTCAGTGTTGTGCAACTCCTTCAAAATTTACTGCACTAAAAGAAAACTTTTTCCTTCTGGCCCTGAATTTTTGAAAAGCTGTAGAAAGGCTCTGGTTGTGTAACTCAGTTATTTGAAAAGGGAAAGCCAAGAAGAAATGCAGGATAGAACTTCTCACAGCAGAAATGGTCATTATTCTGTGTAAGTTATCTGCTTATGCTTATCCAAGCCTGCTTTTGCTCTCCTGGTGACTGTAGCCTGTTCAACATAATCTGTATGTAAGGCAAGAGATCCATTTCGTGATAGCAGAGCAGACAATACAAACCCTGTGAAATACCAACAGTCAGGCTGCTGCTCAGTTCCATCTTTGACACTAATACTCCATTAAACCTTTCAGCAGGAACCATTTCTAGACCTAGATAAGGGCGTGAGAACAGAACCTACAGCTGCAGAACCTGAAATAACAAGAAGATACTGCTGTTTTCATCCCCCAAATTAAAGCCACAACCCATTTTAACACTTTTTAATGCACCTCTATGCCAGTTTCTGTAGCATTTGTAAACTCTTTTCTCAATATGCATTGAAAGAGACTATTTTGAAATTACCCTCTCAATGCAAGTAATGGTATTTCATCTAAAACTTTTGGGCAGGCAAACAATGCACCGTAAAAATCTGGGTAAGCTTCCACTGGTAGAGTTTTTCAAGAGGGCTGGGTAACTTGAATCTGTTATACACTCTCTATCACAGAATCTGCTTCTGTGTCAACCATTCAGTCATTTTCACCAGTTCTGAAGATTCCAGGAGAGTTCCTCTTTTGAGAGGATTATTGTTTGCCATCACTGTTGCCATATTGGCAACTCATCTAAGATGTGTTTATTTAAAAAAAAAGCCTTTTCTCATTTTCATAGCTGTGAAAATTTATCATGGAAAGGTGACATGACCTGCCACTGATTCAGTGATGTGAATCTCTGAAACATTTGAGAATTTTGTGCTACCTGCTAATCTCAGAGAAAATATATCTATGAAATTTAATGACAATTTACATTGTATTTTAAAAGCATATAGAAACAAAAATCCAAATGATTTGGGAATTTTTTTTTTTCTCCTAAATTATCAAAGCACTTGAAAAAAAAATCAAATTAGCTATTTCTCTGCTGATAATTCTAAGTATCCAGGTGACATCACTTTCAAATAATCCAAACCTGTTTTAGGCATTTCCTTTGAGCTTCCAATTTCTCGGAGTCCTGCTGATACAGCCTCTCCTGGAGTTTGTCTGGCTGAGAAATGGGCTTAGAAACAGGAAAAACTGCAGATAATAATTAGACTCAAACAACTGTGTTATCTGCATTTGTGCGCAGAACATACAACTGCTTATTAAGATCAAATGGATTTTAGTGATCTACCAGATTCATAAAGTAAAAAAAAAAAAAAATTGCCTCTACCATGTAATCATGAAAAATAATCAGAGAGTGGAGGAAATCATTATTTTCTTAATGTTTGCAGAGTGTTCAGACTATAAGAGATCCTATAAAAGATCATTTAACTGTACATTTAAGATTTCTAACTAATTTTGTAATTTCTAACTATGCAAACTTCTACACCTCTAACTAAAAAACGTTATTTTTCTGTACCATTCTGTTGAGTAAAACAGAGCAGGTATCTGAATGAAAAATGCTTTTTGCTTGTTCTCTCATGGGGCCAAACACCAGAAAACTTAATTCCTCTTTCTGATGTGAAAGCTAAGAACCCCCACCACAGAGTTACTTCTAGTAGAAAGATCTCCGTTTTTAGAGAGAGAAAAAGAAACTAAGAGGGGGTAAATGACTCTGAGTGAGTTTTGAGGTAAATTTTTAACTAAAAATTAATTCAGAATCATATGTAACTATTTGTTCTTAAAAGTTTTGCTCCTTTTTATCAATTTATTCTCGCTTTATTACAAGTGCATGTTACAGAAACATCCTATAATGAGATTTTTGTGGATAGTAACTTTAAAATAAAAGTTGCAGCAATAGCTTTATGTTTGGTAGTTGCTACGTTGGTTGTGTGAGTACAAGGTTATACATCATACTGCTTGCCTATTATTTTTTGTGTTTCTGAAACTTACAGATCAATTAATTGAATGATGCATCAAGAACAAATGTGCAGCAAAATATTCATATTCAAAACACTGGAAAAAAGAATGTATTTACCTTTTGTCATCAAAACTATCACTCCTCCCTGCAGGTCTTGTGACTTTGCAAGTTTTACCTTTTTTTGTAACAAAATCAAAATCCAGTTGTGGTCACTTAGGGACTCTATTCTCTTGTTGGAAAGACGTTACTGTCGGCACTGTAACTGCAGATAAACCTTAATATCTTTAGAGCAGTCCTGCTATTCACATTTGTCTCTATCACTGAATACTAATTTAAGTAACTCTACCCACTTTAAAACCCCATGCTTGCTTCTTTTGAGTGGCAGAAGTGTAAATTTTGGAAGTGCAAAACTTTCTATGAATTATCTCTGCTTTTTTGTACATGCACCTTGTAAGCAATTCTATTTGGGATTCTCTCACGAGTTGTTGTGGTTGAAGAGCAAAGAACAGCATGGAGGCGAAATGAATTTGGATAGCAAAACACTTTAATCACAGATGTTGCAATTTTATCACACCACTTCCCTTTCCCATGGAAGGCATGATGTGGCCTGGGACAGACAGTGTAGTGGTTTCAGCCATGTGCATGGTTGTAGGGTATTGTGGGCTCATCCCCACACTTCTCGGTGCTGGAGGGAAGAACTCCTGGATTCTGATGCAGACCCCCCTCACACCCCTCCATCCCATTTTCTGTCATATGTTTACCTCTGAAGCTTCCTCAGCTACAGGATCTGCTGACTGTCCCCTGCAGACCATCCTGGCGGTTCTGGTTTAGCTGTTCCATCCTCTGAGCTAACTATCAACGTCTCTGACCCTCTGGCTGAGTCTGCACTGTTACTTAGGACACGTGGTTGATCACTCTTCACCTCTCTAGTACAGCAACCAGTTAACCTAAGCTGGTCAGCATGGCTGACAGCACCAAGAATCCTATCTGCATCACAGAAATTAAACATTTCTTTTTTGTCCTGTTAAACATGAAGGTTATGCAGACACAAAGGGTCAAATGTGACATTCTGGTTATGCTAAAATGATGGTGACCTCCCACCAAGGGGCTTCTCTGAAAATTCAACCATACTCCACTTCCAGATATCTTTCCCTCTAAATAAATTAAGTGAACATTGCTCAAGTCACACCCACACTTACTAATGCCCCATCCACAGCTGGACACTGGGAGTTCACAGCTTATCCTATCCTCTAAAAGAAACCCATCATCAATACAGCCATGGGGAAGTGCTGTCTGTTCTCAGCACACATCGACACCAACCATTAATGCTCATGCTCAGGACAAATACACCCCTACTAAAGCTTGTTAGACCAAGTTCAGGAATAGTTTTAACTAGACATAGGCATAAAGTTGCTAACTGAAGTTTTCCTTGGTACATTTAAAGCAAAAAAATGTTACTTTGTTGTACAACATACAGCAAAGTATTTTCTTTTTACTACACTGAAAATGGGCGACCTGCCCGATTTTGCATTTAGAAATCTGGTGATATGGTGCAAAATTAATCTTATTTTCTTGGCATTCTATTACTAAGTAAAAATAAAAGAGAGGAAAAATTTAAAAAGCAGCCAATATATTATTAGCTATATTGAGACTATGATGAATTTATTTACTTGATACTGCATGCCAGCTGCAGCAATCAAAACAGGTGACTGACGTAAAAGCATAGGAAAAACATGCAGAAGCACAACTCTTAAAGTCTCTATATAAATATAGCATAGCCAGATCTTGTGTCCCACAATTCCAAATTTAACAGCAAAAAACTTCCTAAAGAAACTTAAGAGATAGATTGACTTACTTCTGAGCACTCTGGATTCAAAAGATTGTAATCACAATCTACAGGAGAGGAGGCAACCACTATATTCTGAACCACACAGTTAAGCAACTGAAATTCAGTTCAATGTGGTGAGCCCAGCTGAACTCTTAGATGGACAACATCTTTAAATCAGAGCTTTTGCTCTAGGAATAGAAGGCAAGGTACTTTGACATACTTCTATCTTTATTTAACAAGTACTTTGTTACTTTTCTCTAAAGATTTTCATTGATTTTATCTAGTAAAACAGTTTAGTTTTGTAAATAGGACTCTGGGAAAGTTCTGCATCTCTCTAGAAATAAAATCCAGGAAATAGTAGATTTAATGCATCAGTAGTTTTCCTAGAGTGCTTTACACACATAAATAGAGCACATCAAAGTACTGTTTATTTCTACATTTGGGTTTGGGCTTGCCATAGACACTAAATTGAGAGGAGCTGTCAACTTCCTCAAGGATAGAGGCCTTGCAGAGACCTAGACAAAGAGAGATGGGCAATCACATACCATAAGAAATGTAACAATGGCAAGAGCTGGATTCTGTATCTCAGACAGGGCAGCCCTGGTTGTGTGTATGGACTGGGGAGGAGGAGGGTGGAGAGCAGCTGTGGGAAGGGTGCTGGGGTCGATGTAAGTTGGGTATGAGTCAGCTGTGCCCTGGTACCCAGGAAGGCAAATCATGTCCTGGAAGGCATCAGGCCCAGCACCACCAGCCAGGCCAGGCTCTGCTCTGGGGCAGTCTCCAGTCCTGGGGGCAGTTTTGGGCACCTCAATATAAAAAGCCACATGAAGTTTAGAGGGGGTCCAGAGAAATGCCATGAGGAAGTGAAGGATATCAAGGTGAAGCCTTATGAGGAATGGATGAGGACACTTGGTTTGCTCAGCCTGGAGGAGACTGAGGGGAGACCTCATTGTGGTCTTCAGCATCTCTTCACTCTCGTGACCAGTGACAGAACTCGAGAAAACGGCATGAAGCTGAGTTAGGTTGGGTATCAGGAAAAAGTTTTTCATCCAGTGGCTGGGCACTGGAACAGATTCCCCAGGGAAGTGGTCAGAGCACCAAGCCCTGCCTGAGCTCAAGAAGAGTTTGGACAACACTCTCAGGCACTTGGTGGGATTCTTGGCGTGTCCTGTTCAGGGCCAAGACTCAAATGATCCTGATAGGCCCCTTCCAATTCACATATTCTATGATTTGTAGAAACCATTTTTGTTTTGGAAGAAAGAGACTTTCTTCAATTGCAGAATTCCATCAAATATAATTTCCTGCAATTCTGATGTTTACAGGGGATTACACAAAATGCAAGGCTTTCTCACAGATATTATAGTAAACTCTATTGCAACTACAAGACTCGATAATATTACCAAAGTGATGTTTATATTTTGGAAGGGCCTTTGACTGCAAGATGTCCACTCTTCCAGACTTCTCAGCTCTCTGGAATGAAACAAACAGCTCAGTGAAGCATTAAACCTTACTTAGGCTTGGTTTGCTTTACTTGAACCAAGGTGAATAAGAGTCATAACAGTAGTATAACCATGAAGGAGGTCATCCTTTATGTCATTACATTCTCTTAATACGAAATTCCCAGTAACTATTCGATCACAGCCTATTTCCCCATGTCCAAAAAAGCCAAAGAGGGGGACATTTGGAAAAAACTTCCTAAATGCATCTGCTTCCATATTCCTCTTGGTTTTGTAATGCCGATATCCTCTGCCAACACAGGCAAACATGAAGCCAATGGTGTTGTGCTCAGGGATGTTTGCTGCTTTGAGACGCTGCATGGCCGCTTCTGCTGTCCTCTCATCAGCCACATCCTGGTCTAAAAGGACAGTGGCACTCTGGATCTGGGGGCCGCTGAAAGCCAACCCAACCACACCACAGGCGTCACCAGGCTGGGCATGGTTACTGAAAGGCAACAGGCACCAAGTTAGAGAACATTTTGTGGGGACCACTTCTCACCTGACTAAACCATCTGTGGCAGATGTAGGTTCAAAGCAGCCAACAGTACAGCAATTCTGACACCATCTACAGTTAATAACCAAACCAAAGACTTAATATTTTAGCAATGTTTTTGTGTAGCAACCTTTCACAAGGAAAAACTTCCACATCCATTACTAGACATTAAGCACAAACTTGTTTCACTCATGCCAAATTCAGCAGTTTGTGTATGTCACAGCTCTGCAATTCCAGCTAAACCATCAGTTAAACTTAGGACAAACAAAGGCACTGAGGATTTATACATAAAAGCAGGGCAGCAGCCAGCAAAGGTTTTTGGATTCATGTTGCTTTAAGTTGGTTGGCCAGGACACATGGGGCTTAGTAGTCACATACTTAACCTTTATCTGCAGGGACTTTATTTAAGGTCAGGTCTCTTATCTGGGGCAACAGTGCACTGGTAAAATCAGATGCAAGAAAAATGTTGATATGAATACGGACTCCAGACCTCCAATGGCACAAGAGCAGCCTATGGGCATGGCTGTACAGAGCTCCACAGGACAGAGTGCCAAATCCTTCAGCAGCCAGGGTGGATCAGGTGAGCTCCTGGGGCACAGCCCTGTTGTGTGTGCAGCCACTGCTCCATGCTATGGGCAGAACTGATACACAAATACATGTTCACATCCTGGGCTCCGTCACAACAGGCACTCAATTACCTGCACTCCAGAGATGAAATGCTGACTGCAGTAAACAAACAAAAGGTATCTGAAGCTGAAAATCTTCTTTTCAGTGGGTTTTCAGAATCCAAATTGTAACACAGCCATACAAATCTTCCAGCTTTGCTGGCTACGTCAGAGTGTAGCAGTTGGGACATTTTTCCCTTTAAGAAATTGTTGTTTTACTAATGGTAAAGGGGATTTTCAATATAACTAGAAGGCTATGGATCTGCAGTGTTTCTCTCATTTTGAATCTTTTTCATCATTTACCTTAAAAAAAAATACCTACTTCTCAGAGGTCAGTGATGTAAAGCTCTCCACCTGTCCCCCAGCCAGGATGATACTTTTCTCATTCAATGGATTGACTATTTGATGAAGAAATCGAGTAGCTCCAGTCTTCCAGGAATTGTAGCCAAACAGAAGAACAACACGGAGATCTGGGTTATTCTTCAGACCTACAAACAAAAGCCAACACTGATCCCCCTTATTTTTAAATCCTGAACTCTGAAGTTCAACCATCCTAGTTTCTCCCCAGCTAATACATCACACATCTCTCAGAACAGCTCTGCTTGAAACGTAACTGAGGTAGCTGGAAACTGATACTCAGGATAACTTATCCTTAATACTCCAGAAACTAGGAGGAGCAGAGATACACAGTAACCAGCTGGAGCCCCACAGAGGCTCTTGGAGACAGTACAGAAGCTGCTGGTTCTACGCAGAACTCCAGACTGGCACCTCAGAGAGCAGCACCTCACAGAAGCCCACGTAAAGGAGAGGAAAATGACATACCTGCTTCAGCAAATTTACTTTCATCAAAGACCCTGTTCTTCACGTCTTTAGAAAAATGGAAGGTATGAATTTTCACCCCATCGATTTTGGGAAACAACAGAGCAAACCCAGCTTCGCCCCCTTCAATTTCTTGAGGCTGATTGCTGCTTGAACCCATCGGGGTAACTACAAAGACAAAACCAAGTGTCTCGTGTTCAGAGATTCTAATACTTTCATTTACACTGTAACATGGGCAGAAAGAGGTTGAACAGCTCAGGTGATATAAAATGTTGACAATCTATTTCCATAACAACTTATCTAATTGAAAACTAGAGTGATTTTTTGGTCGATATTCTGGAAAGATGAAACGTGTAAGTCCTGCTGGCTATCGATCACACTGAAATCAGTTTTGACATAGAGATGTGGATATATTTACACGTATCCCCCCAGGAACACCAAATATACAACATTAGGAAACCAAGAACAGGGCAATACAAGCCTTCCTGCCCACTTCTGCAGGCATAGACATACTCAAGTTTTTAAGGTATCCTATAAGCATGTGAGGACAATATAAAGCAAACTGACACAAAAATTTGGAGTGTGTTATTAAAATATGGTAATGACAACAATCAAATACCTTACTTACAATGTGGAAAGTGAATTTATGGTAAGAAACCTTAAAAAACCCAATTTTCTAATGATAAAAATGAAGCATGAGAAAAAGCCTGCCATGGGAGGCTGTGAATTTCCCAATTACTGCATATGCCTCCTGCTAGACCATTACAAACAAGTATGCCCTGTACAGTTAGTCAGAATATGACTGAAATGTATACATAAATCCAAGCAACATTCAAGAAGTACATTAAGGTGCCAGGGAAAGCTGCCTGCCCAATTAAATCTACCTTTTTAATTATATCCAAAATATATGAAGTAAGGTCACGTCACTCAGCAGCGGCACTGTGAACTCCTTAAAATCAAAGCAAAGGTGGGAATGACACCTTCACACTGATCTCAAAACCCCACACATTTTGCTCCTACCTACAATCCCTGGGGTGACCAGTCCAAGAACCTGACATCGCTTTGGCAACAACTTTTCAAGCGCCAGTGCTGTTTCTTTACTGTTTCTTTTTCTGGCTGTAAAAATAAGAGACCAAAAAAAGCCATCAGACAGCAGTAAAAATGTGTTCTGAGCAAAGCCCACAGCCAACCCCGTCCTGTTTAAGCAATGCTGCCCATTAGTGGCCATCCCAGTAACAGCACGCCGCTCTGTGCTGCTCCTTGGGAGCACTGGGCTGCCGGCAGGCAACCACACTGCGTACTCCACAGAAGGGAAAGGAACCCATCTGTGCACATTAACGCAGATCTGTGAACTGCTTCTTACCACAAATGCAATACTACACGGTCGTGGTTTCCGTAAAACATTTCCTTTCCATTGAAACCAAAACTCAGAGAATTCCCTTTCAGGTGACTATGCTCTACTTACATCCCAATGTTTCTTTAAGTGGGAGAGAGTTAGGTCCAGGCTTTACCTTTCTTTTGCTCGTGACACTCCTCATGCCCGCTGAACGTCTCTGCATCAGCAATGTAGAGCACGGTCTGAGGCAGCACGTGCACCTTCTGCAAAGACACATGTGGAGGAGTACACGAGATGAGATAAGACAAGACAGAGTGGAGAGAAAGTGCAGGCAGAAATCGAGGAGAAACTGCTCCTGCTCCACTGACAGCTCATGCTGTTCCCCTCCCGCCGCCTGTCAGCCAATAGATAACTTCTCATTAGCCCCAGAAGTGCCCAGATTTAGTTAGTGAATTGGTAGCACAGGTAGGAAGTTAACCCAAACCTCACACAAACAAAAACAGCTCTGCAGGCCGGCCCCATGACTCTGCTCCTTCTTTTAACACTATCTAAACTCCTTCCATTCATGGTTGTTGGCTTCTGCTGTTCATCATTAGTGCTGATGCTGGGAAACGGTGTAGAGACGCTTCTGGCCCTTCTTGTTTCAGTTGGTTTAACACTGATATGCTGAGGCGACCCTGACATGAGCGTGTAGTGAAGGCCCCGTACCACGTTAATACTGCAAATAAATCCTGCAGTGTTTACTCAGTGTTTCCCAGCCTATGAGGGTTTACCTCTTAACAAGATTGCCGCGATGAACAGATGTGCCCTGAACTGCAAATCCTCTGCGTTTTGATCGGTGTATTAACACGCAACACTTACTGTCAAAACCACCCACGCCTCCGAACACGTCCCTTTAGCCGGGCGGTCGGAAGAGCGTTCAGCGCTTAAGCGAAGGCGCTGAGGCCCCTCAGGTCCCCTCACCTCAAGCTCGCGGGCCAGCGCGCGCACCAGCGCGTGGTTCTCGGCGGGGCCCGGCTCCAGCGCCGACACCCACGCGATTCGCTGCCGCGTCCGCAGCGTCCGCCGGGCACACTCCCTCCATAGCCGGCACACGCTGCAACACAACACGGACACATCGCGTCGGCCGCACCGCCCCCGCGAACCGGAGCCGGCCGCCGCCCAACCCCTGACCCCGGCCCTTACCAGGCGGCGCGCAGCAGCGCCTTGGTGGGCAGGAAACCGAGGACGCGCTCCACCACCTCGGCGAGGTTGGCGAGGACGTAGCTGCCCTTGGCCGCGGATTCCATGGCCCCGGCGCCTCCCCGGCTGTACCGCGGCCCCGGCGCCCTGCGTCACCCGCGCGCCGCCGCCCCAGAGACAACTTCCGGTCAGCGCGCGCGAGCCAAGCCAGCGCACTGGCGCCGCCTAGCGGCGGGGAGGACCTGCCCCGCTCTCACCTCCCCCCTTCCCTCGCGCCCCGGGCCCCAGCACGCACACAGCGCTTCGTAAAATGCTTTTTATTCATAAACTTGATGCAAGTTTACAAATTACTGTACATTGCCAAGGAACTCTGCCAGAAGAAACGGAACCCAAACCGAAGCATGCGCCGCAGGGCGGAGGCCGGGGCCGCCCCCAGCCCCGCCGTGCCGGAGAGCGGCGCAGCCCCGGCGCTCACCCAACCGCGCCGGGAACAACACGCACTGCGAGCGGGGCCAAATCTCTCCCATCGTTTCTTTCGAGCTAAAAACTGGATCTAGAAGCAAACGCACAAGGACCCGCGGGCGCCTGATAGAGAAAAAGAACAAGTTCGATAGTCAACTAAAAAAAAAAAACAGTAACAAAAACATGCTTCTGCACTTCGGCAAGTGCTTAATCCATGGAACACACCCTTCGCTCGGCCCCGAAGGGTGTACAGGCCGAAGGACTAGTACTACAACCAAAACAGACTCGATTCTGGTAAGGCAATGAAACTGTGTGTCAGTACACAGACCCAGATTCATCTAATAAAGAACGAACAGTTCCCATTAGTCTTTCAATAACAAAACCACCGTCATGAATATGGCAGCATTTCTAATGCCTCAATTGGATGACATGTTTTTGTACTCTATTGTAGCTTTTATATAAAAAATTTTCATTCAAGGACTTTCATCTCTATTTGTGCCAATCACTTTTTAAGTTCATTAGTTTAGAAATGATTGCAACAACCCGTTAATAAAATGGAACACCTAAAAAGGTTTTTAGTATTTTAAATAACTTCAAGCTTCATACTGTGGCTCTTCTTGTTAAGGAGGTTGAGCCAACAAGTAGCAGGAACAGCCCAGCAAGTTCTGATGCCCCAGTGGAAGTGACCAGTTACAAGGTTTTATTGGCACAGCCTTGCTCTGCGTATAAACAAAAAAACGAAACAAAATAAAAAAAAACCAAAAATTAAGATAATCTAAACAAAAAGCATCTTTTCCAATAAACAGTTCATATTCTCATACAGCCATGAAAAATGTTTAATGACTTAACATACATGTGTTTTTCCTATATCATTAATTTGGAAAATACTACAAACGCTGTCATTTTAGACCAGAAAAACTACTGTGATTTGCAAGACCTGACATTTTCTAAAACAGATTTAAACAATGTATTAAACTTCTTGGCTTTAAATTAAACAATAAAATGCAAGTGTCTGAAGTCTGCATTTTGCAAAAAGTAGGAAATACACAGAAGTGTGTGAACAACTCACTCCTATTGTATGAGCTTTAGTAAATTGATAGCCTGCTGCAGGGAGAGCTTATGTTTTCAAATAAAAAAAGGGAGAAGGGAGGGCACGGCTCAAATCTGCTTAATCCATAAGAACAAATATGGTAAAGGCCCAAACTGCTCAGTCCAGATGCCTAAGAAGGGCAGAATGGTAAGGCTGTAACTTATACTGCACGTGTCAGTTGACAGATTATCCACTAATTTATCTAATAGCTAAAGTCCTCGGTTCAGCTGTTATAGGGGCACTCATAGCTTGAGTCTGTGTGTTGGAAAACATAAAAAAGAGCTTGTTTTGTTGACATTGGTCCAGGTATACAACTGTCCTCAGCATTAGCCATCTTCTTTTGGAGGAGTGTACCAGCCTGTGGAGAACAGAGACATGTTAGGTACCAATGTTGCTGTGTCCAGACAATCCTATTCTTCACCCATGGGAGATGGAAGCCTAACCTGGCTCAATCCTTTCCCTCTTACAGCAGGCCAGCTTAGCGAGACCCAATGCCCTAAATGTGGGGGACAAACCATGTGACAGGACCAGACCTGGTATTTGGGTGTGCACATGGATTTCTGTGGCAGCAGCTATCCTGAGCTGGACAAGCTGAACCCCAACAAGAAGAAGCTGCTGAAGGAGGAACATTGCTCTAACCAAACTTAATAGAAGAGAGGTAAAACCCCCAAGTCTTCAAGCTACTTCAAACATAGACATACAAACATGACTGCACTGAGACACTCATATAAATCCCATTTTGTGTACTGCAGAGTTAGGCATACACAAGCAACTGAATGGTTTACCCTGTTTCTGCAAGTCTTGCCGTAGGAATAAACTCAGAAATGTCAGCTGAGTAACTGGTCTTCTGACATAATTTGGCATGTTTAACAGCTGAATCATACTTGATCATGTGTGTATTGCTTTTTCTAGAGACCTTCAGAGCTCCAATCTTAATTCTCCCCTCTTGTAACATTTCCTCTAAATGCATGTACAGTGACTACAGGGTCTATTTGTGCTGTCCCGGAGAGCACACAGCAGCTCTAAGCTCAAGACACCTTTCACAGCAGCACTGAGTACTGTGCTTTGTGTACAGCTCCTGAGGCAGAACTGATCACTTGTAGCACATACAAGTAAACAGCTACGCTGGCTTTTGTAGCAAACTAAAAGAGCAAAAGGCTCGGTTAACAGCATAATCAAAATACTGTAAAATTGGAGAGCATGTTAACGTCATTATCTTTGATCTTCCTCCCAAGAGTACAGGTGTTATGTTCTGTGTTAGCAGCAGGGAAGCTGAGGTGCTCACTGCAGTCACACAAACACATTGAAAATAACCTGAATTCCTGGAGGACACTGTGTCCAACCCAGAGCACAGAACATCACAGAAGTGTAACTGCACTAACTCCCTCATCACAAGACCAGAGTACCAATTCTACTAACTACCTTTATGTAACATGTAAGCTACTTAAACCTTTAAAAGCCTCAGGCTTTTCATACTGCCACAGTAAATTAAATGATACCTGAAGCACTTGTACACTTTTTTTATGCAGCAGATGGACTTACAATAGAGTAAAAAAGCCCAAACTAAAACAAGTGTGTCCCTATTCTATTGTACAGTTTCCCAGCTAGTACACCTCTCTTGTAGTTCTTGTATTTTTTAGTCTCAGGTTGTATTTCCCCACTTTCTCTCTTCTTTAATGATTATTTCCACTAGGTTCTTGTCACATTAAAACAAAATCTTTCAGGGAAAGGGATAAACTCCCAGCAGATTCTACACCAATATTAAGATCCTTAAAGCTACAGTAACAATTAAGTTCCTAGATCAACTGGCTGAAAATGAAATGGAGCTGCCTTTCAAGCAGCAGCAGGAACACACATGCAACATTCAAGTAAACTGGGAAAATTGCAATGATTCCAGTCAAGTTATTTAAGCACTACTGTTTTTCTAGTGCAAGAAGAAAAGAAGGAAGAAACATTTATGGTCTTCCCAAGCCAAAATAAGACACTTTGTCACTTCACATTTCTCTGTGGCCAAACACCAATTCCCAGGGTGCTGTGCAAACAAGAACAAAGTGGCAAGGATATACATACCATTTTTCTCATGTATTTGTACTAGCGACTTATAGGACTGCTGTGCTCTTGCTAGATTATATTGATTCTGAAAGGAGAAAAAACTAACATAAACATAGCATCTAGACATGCAAAACTCAAAAACAGTTCTAACAAGGAAATTCTACAGTGGGCTTAAATATAAAGTCCATGCACAATGTTAGAACATTCCTGCCTTTCAAGATTCCCTTCTCAGAGCCAGAAATTCCAAATTCTCACAATTCCGATCCTCCTTTCCTCCCTCCCTTGCCAATATAAGGATAGTAAAAGCCTACCCCGGCCATCCCAAGGCTTTATCCTCATATACTTGTAATTACATAAAAAAAAATTAATTGCCAATAAAATACTTATACAGGCACCAGATAATTCAAAATGCATATATATTTGCAATAGCAATTCTGTCATTAAGCATCTGCTATGCAAGTCAGCAAGGAAATGGAAGCCCAGCAGTGATCTGTGTAATTGATAAACACAGCACATTTACCTTATTGGCTCCAAACTGTACTCTGGCTTTTCCTTTGACTAAAGTGGCATTGATCTGCATGATGACTGATTCTATTGAGTAGGCACTGCTCCAGCCCTGGAGGAGGGAAAGGAATATTAACATACAACATGTATATACAACTTGCTTCTTCTACTCACCTTGCTGATCTATTTCAGAACGTGTGCTTTGGGATTTTTTTAACTTTAGTTTTAACTCCTTTTCAGTTGACTTATTTTCCATAGAAAAATCTGTAAAATGATAACAGTCCTAGTGCTAAGAACTCGTAAGAAGGATGAAAAGGCTGAATCACATTTCCAAAATACAAACAAAAAAGCTCCATTCTTGCAGCACTGACAAATTTTCAGCAATGTTACAACAGAAATTACCACTCCTTTTTCCAAGAAGCAGGAAAGACTGATCTCTCATGAAGTCAATTAAGAATTCTGCTCATCTCTGGCATTGCTTTACCTTACAGAGCTCACAAGAGCTTCTACCAGAGTCTGCAAGTAAGTTACTTTGTTCATTTACTTATTTTAAAGAGAAAATCACTTTGTCTACGCAAATTATCTCTGACTATAATTGTCTGTATTCCTCACTTCTCCAGAGCTGACTTTATGCAGTTGAAGAGGCTTCTAGAAAAGAAAACGTGTCTTGCTCCCCTGAACTCACTCTTCACACTGCCTTCCTCAGAAATTCTGAGAGCTCCAAGTTGACATGCTCACGCTTCCTGCCTCTTTCTCACAGCTCTTGTAAGCCACCCAAGGCAGAAAATAGGATCTCAAACAAGATCAGCAAGGCAAATCTTGTGGGATTGAGGTTTAGTTCCACCATGTTTCCTTTGGAGTGTGCAATTTATTCCACACGGGGATTCTTCAACTCATGGGAAGCACCTATTTTCATTATTTTTAGGCATGTTTTATTATCCAGATAACAGAGCTCATATTCACCTGTTTAGTGAGAAGTTCCATGCATAAAGCACCTCCACCTAGGACATACCTAGAAACAAATGTGAAAGAAAATATTCTTGATATCAGCAGTTAGTAAAAAGATGCAAGTGCTCACAGCACTTTAAGCTCTTGCAACCTTATTTGTTCAATTCTTTGTTCATAAAGCTGAAAACCCCTTTAACCAGTAGTATATTTGAACTAGTTAGCCATGTTGTACTTGGGCAAAGAAAATTAGCACTGTGAGACCAAAAAAAAAGTTGTTTTCTAACTAGACTTAGTTTAAACCACTGACAGCTGGTCTGCACAACTGCAGAGACCATTGAAAAAGGAAAGTTACTTTTTATGGCTACTCTACATATACATAGTACTGATGAGTAGCTAAAAGAAACCAACAAAATTCAATTCTGAAGTTTAACACCATTTTAAACAATGCAGGCGCACTTATAAATAATATGAGATAATAGATCTTTTCTTGCTCTTCTCCTGTAAAGAGCTTTTTTAAATTTCAAAACCAGTTTATCCATTGTGCTGACTAGGACTCAGCAGAACACCTGAGTGTGACAAAACTTGGACTGAGGGAAGAGAATTTACCACTGCCAAAATGCGTTCTCTATGACCAAGACACTAAAACCTCATTCATCCATATAACATTCAGAGGGAGATGATCACTGAAAAGCCATCCTTTTTTCATTCTAAAAAGAAGTCTGGGGACAACCAAATTAGAATCTAATGAATTTTCTGGTCTTTGGGTCTGCTTGTTTAGTTTTGAGATAGCAGCACCCCTCATGAAACCTAATTAACTGCATTAACCGTTTGAATTCAAGAAGAATACGTGGCAATTCTAATCAAATCAGAATCAGCACCAGCTATCACAGACTACGTTTTCAAATGCAGGTATCATTTCCAGGAGATGCATAAAAGCCTTGGAAGGTGAATTTAATTGTCTCTCCATGGGTATATCAAAGTGCCACAGACAGCACTTCAAACATGCTTTAGATGACATTTGGGGCATGTCTTCGAAAGTGTTTTTAGATTAGCATTTGAGGAATTTTTAAACAAAAATTTTATGGCAATGTTTCCAGCCAGAGAGAGACAGTTAAGACTTCACAGCAAACTTAACATAGGGATCAAGACCTGTTCAAAGCACCAACCCAGACCATCTTACAGCAGGAGAAGGAACAGTGATGTAAACTCCCCACAGAGGCCAGTTCTTACTCATTATGGCAGGCACAGAGCTTTTCAAGTTGTAACATTTTTACCACAAATGACAATTTCTGCAGGGCAACTGGAACCTACCCTCCTGTGAGCACAGGAGACACCACTCGCACAAAGGGAGGATCAAAAGGGAAGTTATCCTGAAAAGAATAATAAAAAAACAGGTTAAGAAAAATAATGTGACATGGCTTCCCAACCAGAAAGTATTTCAACAGCCTTATTTGTCAAATCAGATTTGAAATACTACAATTTTTCAGTTCTGTAAAAATTCTCCATAGTACTGGCTAAAAAGCATTTTTTTAGAAGCTTCAGCACCAAACTTAGCTTTCTTTTATTTCTTCCCTTTTTTTATGCTACAGATCCATTATTACTCAAGTTACAGCTGAGGGTCATTTCAGTCACTTTTTATACTAAGCCTCAAATTTAACAGCAGCTTTTCATCCCACTTACCTTAAAAGAGAAGTTGAGTAAAATGTATTCTACACCTTCTTTTTCTTTTAAGACCTGAAGATCACTATGCAGTGGGCTATCAGGATCAACCCTATAAAAGCAGCAGTGGGGAGATCATAGATGAAGTTAATAATTTCATTGCCTCCAAACAGTAATTCCTATTAAAGACTTCCTTGATGTATTTGTAGTTTACAAATTGTAGTTTAAAGCAAACTGTAGGAAATTCTTGCTCCTTTTACCAAATAAAAGCTTTGCCATGAGATCAGCATGAAAACTTGCTGCAATGTACTACATTCCCAATGCTATCAAGTGTTGCTTAAACACAGCACAAAATAACCTATTTGAAAAGAGCAATTTTAATTCATTTCAGTTGTGTGCAAATAAGAGGGGAGAAAACCAGGAAGACTGTAATTATCTAGTTTGCAGCAAATAGTTAGTGAATCCTTTATGGAATATGTAATTGTAGATACGCATCAACTGTTAAAAGTAATCTGCATCAGCAAAAGTACTAAAGCCAGCAGCTTCTGCTCAGCAGAATTTCAACAACTATTTGTTCCAAAATGCTGGTGGTGTGCAGCCTGGCCATTAATTCACACACTACTGGGTTAATCCCACCAAGCTCTGACATCTCATCAGCTTTTAAACAGAAGAGACTAGTCAAAAACACCTGCAGCAAGCCAAAAGCAAAGATGTTAAAGGGACTGAAAAGCCATTAAATCTAATCCTCTGCTACAGCTGGAACTACAAAGTTATTAGATCTTATTTCAGAACTTCTTAGGCAGTTTGTCCCCATCCTACCAGAGTGAAGTTACTTCAGAAAAAAATCTTCCAGTGCTTAAGAACCTCTCATTTCAAACCATGGCTTTTCCTGGGCCAGTTCAAAGGGACTCGTTATAGTAACAATACTCGTCCTTCCTCACATGGGCTCTTTCCTCTGACATCTATCCCACAGCTACTCTGCACCCAGTGTATTTGTTTCCAGACAATAAACAAACACAACACTTCTATTCCCTTAGACATTCTGGAAGGCATGTGCTGCATGTACTCCATTTCCTGTTTTCTGAAGGCAGAAAATGAGACCTGTTCACAGCACTTAAACAGAGGTTTTAAATCATTGCACGTGGCTTGAGCGCTTGGTTACAGAAGCACTTGATAGGAAAGGTGCCCAATAATGTGACACAGATTTCCCTGATATGTCATTCCTGCCATTTTCAGCCTCAAAACCTTCACATGCCCATGATTACACTAAGAAGGAAACAAAGCTATTTCAGCAGCTGGTGACCCAGTTTGTACAAGTCTCACCCCTAGGACAAGACAACAATTCCTACAGGCAGGTCAACTACTGTGCTGATACAGCCTCTGTCCTTATCCTTATTCCCCAGGACACATCCAAACCTATGGAAGCTCTTTCATCCATTGCCAGATGTTGCAGTCACCCAGAACAGTTTGGGTGGGCTCTTTCTTTCTTTAGGGTACTGTATAGGGATGACAGCAGATGATCCTCTTACCAGGAATAATTTCACTCTAACACCTCTAGGATTAAAGTTATTGGACTATGGATGTAATTAGATGAGTTATATAACTGCTTTTCACTAGGCAATGATGGAAGACAAGGTACATATAATTATATAACTCACATTTATGTGATAGCTGAAAGTTTTGGTCCTATGTGTCTGTTTAACTGTAGAAATAAACAACTAATGATACTCAGTTCTGTTCTTTCCTACATCTTAAATGAAACTAGAAGCTGGATTTTCCTGTCATTAAAAACACAAAATCATGCAAAATCTCTTGAAAAAAATTTACATCACTTAAGACTGCACATTTTGGAGCAGTTTTAGAACTGAACAGTAATGACAGTTAATGCAATACACACAGTGTTGCCAGTGAAAAGCAGGTCTGTCTTTTTGCCAGCTCAGTTACTACAGTTCCATCTCTACACATTTCTGTGTATCAGAATTATAGCCACTGTTTAGTTACCATTACTGCTACTACTATTATAACACACTATTTTATATACTCTGGCTAGAGATACCAATTTTATGTAAAGACTCTCTCCAGCAATAATAGAACAGATTGTTCAGAACATGTAAAAACTTTATTAACTTACTTGAGAAGCTTAACATGCCATTCATACAAGCTGTCATTCACCAGTTCCACTGAATATATCCCTGTAGAAATATTACATGGAATTAATTATGCACTAAAAGTGTAGATAGAACACATAGCAAAAACAGTCCTTGCTTTTAAATATGAATACTGTCAGCAGGTGTAATGGTATGCAATGGGATAGGATACTGATACTGAGGCTGATACATCCTTCCTCCAGTAGCAGATGCACTTATGAACAGCTACAAGGAAAAAGTGTTTTCACTTCTATTAAAAAATTCCACATTAATCCAATTTTTTTCTGATACTTAACCATTTCACCATCAAACCTTCCACAACTACAACTCCAGCTTGCCTATTACTCACTATATTTTACACCCAGTACACTACCAATGTGTTTTTAAGACAATTTACAACAGTGTGAGTGTGCAGCATTGTGTTTCACAGGTTCTCATCATTACAGGCAGACCAGGACAGCACATGGGACAGCGTATGCAGTAGAACCCCAAGAAAAGGAGATACTGCAGTGGATAAGCACATTCCCAACAGCTGACTGAGGAAGGCAGAAAGATGCATCTAAAGAATGGAATGGTCTGTGGGAACCAGCTGGTGACTTTCAGAGGCCTGTTTGTTTTAAGCATGTTCAACAACAGTCGTGCATTTCACTCCTAGAGAAGGATGGAAATTATCTGCCATTTTCTTGTGTATTCAAAGCTTCCTCTTTGCATAAATTCACATGAAGCTCTGGAAAAAGCAATAAACCTTTAACCACCCGACAAGATTTAGAGCATGGTATCAGTCAAGTACAAAAGCTAAACCTCTTCTTTCACAGAATAATCACACACATAGACTAACCCACTATTATTAAACTCATTACCTGGCCTAATATTTAACAGTATCTTTGCTGCTGACCTAATTATTTGGAAGCCGTATGTAAATCAGAAACCTGCCTAGGATTTCTGAAGGCAATACAACCACCAGATTGCAGTTACCTCATTCTCCCCAAGGAATGGGGGGGTATTAATTTCTGAGTTTCATTATTCTAGCATAAAAATAATCTTGCAGTTGAAACTTATAAGCATAAGTACTTCAAGTACAGATGACATTTCAAGCTGTCCAGACATTTATTTCTAAAGCATTTCAAAACTTTGCACACAAGTTAAAGCACCCATGATTGCTTCTACTCACCGAGTGCCACTAACAAGTGAGTACTGCAGCCGAGAGCACAATTTCTAATTCTTCTACATCTAGAATAACAACAAAGGCCTGAACACATATTCACTGTGCTACTCTTATCCCATTTAATCAGAAGCTACTTCAGAGACATGACATCTCTGCTTGAGGATCAACCAAAGGAGCTAGTAAGGCCCTTTTTCAATTCCCCAGATCCAATGACACTATTCTCCGAACTGACCTTAGTGTAAGTGACAAACTGTAAGAATTTCAAATTGTACTGCTCTGATGTAAAACCAAAAGAACTGACATTCAGAACTCTGCTCATTGTCAACTCCCATTAATGACAAACTTATTCCATTGCTGTATCCAGAATATTTTCTTCCACCTGCATCCAAATGGGAGTAAAGAACACTCATTACAGACAAGGCAATAAGTTACAGTAATGCTCCTGACACTGTGCAAAACAATGGAAGAGAACAAGAGAACTTCCATCCCTTTGTTCTCTGACTAAGCCTCCAGCCCTACTCCTGTCCTCCTTCCATCATCCTGGGCCACCTGCTCTTGGCCAGAGTCCCTGTCCCAGTCCTTCAGCTCCAAGGCCCACACACTTTGCCAGCTTCACCAACAGGAAGAGCTGTACTCTGAAGAGCTGTACTGCACCTAAGCCAGAAGCTGCAGTAGGGCTCTTCAGAGAGACAGGCTCAGCTCAGGACTGAGCCTTAACACCAGTGCAAGACACTCCAGCAGCCTTCCAAGCAGCCAAGTGCTGAGCCAAATAGCATCTGTGTCTCCTCATGAACAGCAGCACGGGCACCCCGTGTCTCGATACAGACACTACTTACCAACACTATCCAAAGCTGAAGGAGGCCGTTGTTTGGGGTTCTCTGAATAATCAAGAGGTGTTACTTGGAAGTAATTTATATGCTTTTTTTTTCTTTTGCAATTTTAACAGTAAGAGAAAAAAGTTCCTTGGTTCCTCCGAAGTCAAAAAGAATTTAACTTATGAATAGCAGTTTTTGAGAAGTCCTTAGTTTAAGAAAGTTATCAAGGTAGGTTCCTCTTGCTTAAATGCAATGTGGGGTTTTTATTACCCAAAGGGGATCAAGTAAAAGAGGTGATCAAGTAAAAAGAAACCCACAGAACCATGAAGCAAGCAAAAATGTAAGAAATTACAATGTAGAAAGAAAAACAATTCCTTTCAAAACAAAGGCAATGTCTTATTTAGGGCAACACTGCTATATCAAAAAGTAAATCCATACTGTCTTTGGATAAAAACAAAAAGTCATAAAAAAGTCTTTATGAACTATATATGTATAAAACAGATGCTAAAGATATGAAAAGTTTCCATTTAATATCCCCAAATTCTTTGTTTCTTTCTCCTTTCCCAATCCCTTCAATTACATTAAGTCCTTTGTACGTCTCCAATCTGATACATGGAAATGAGAATCTTGCTTTGCAGGACTTGTGGCTCCCATTATCTGAACAGATTAATGAAACCGTCTAATTCACAACAGAGTATCTTAATTTGCTGGAGTATTTTTTGCTTCTGTCAGCTGGTAAGAAAATTATTTTCTCTTTCTTTAAGGGCAATTCTTCCCCTAGATTTCCCAGGTAGATAAGCAAGTTCACTGTTCTTTTGCTTGAACTCCAGCAGCATTGCTTCATTTGATAAAAGAAATTAATTTCTAAAATAGATACTACCTTGAATGCATACCCACAATTGAAGCCACTGTCTTTTGATAGTACATTTTTATAAAACAGTCTAATAGAAAAGAAAGAAAATAAAATAAAATACTATTGTTACAAGACTTATTCACTTCAGAGCTCCCAGTGTTGTCCTACTGTCAGTCCTAGAAACATGTAATCTCATGCAAACTAAATAAAGTGATCCTTACCCAACTAAAAATCAGACTTAGCCTTTCTGGCTTATCTTAAAAAGAAAAGAAAACAGAGTTAAATTACCTTGCAACAGTTACCAGAACCTGGAAGTTTCACAATGTTTCCCTTTGTGCATTAGTAGGAAGAAATTAAATATAGGTAAAATGGACCATGGGGCAAGTACTCCAAACAAAAATGACATTTAAAAAGCCAATTACCTGCCACAGCCTGTGCACATAGTGACAGTTACCTAACAAAAGGCAGAACCGGGCTATGAAAGCAGGAGTTTTGTGTGAAGGAAAAGAACCGAGAACATAAATTCACTCAAGGTCAAAGAATAAATGAAACCGTAAGGAATGAATCTAGGTAGGTTTTATAACAAACAGCATCAATTTACTGCGAAAATGTAATAAACGTGTCAGTAGGATGGTGTTTCAAAGCAGAATTGCCATAATCTTTGCAGTGTCAACCTTCACTTGACACTACTTCATTACCAAGTTTTAGAGATCAAAATGAGGCATCCAGCTGCAGTATTTTTACATATTTCCAAAGTCACAAGCTCTAAGTTACTGCACTCACCCTTTAGAACCTCAATTTTCTCTGAAGTTTAGCAAGATTTGCCCTTCCTCACAATTTAAGAGTGTTCTTTCCTACATCAGGATCAGTCTTTAGCAACTTGCTAAGACTTGCTTATTTAAAGCCAAGAAATGGCATTATTAGAGAGCCTAAAGACACCTCAAACCACACCTACCCAGAGAGCCCCGGCTGACTCCAGTGGTACCACCTGAGCACCCCAGTCCTTACAGCCTGGTTTGTTAGGGCCAACCTTAGCTCTAATCACCAAAACAAACCCTGAAGGTAAAAAACAGGCAGTAAAGCATCCCCCATGACTTCATACAGATCTGCTGCTAGCTCTTTACTAGACCCACTAATCCATTCCTTCCCAGATAGGTGGTGTTTGGAGCACACTGGCAAGCACTCAGTTGTAACAAAACTAAAAGGAGGCTGCATTAGGTCAACACTAGGTTAACCTCACTAAATTTATACCCTAGACATTTTACCATTGTTCCCAGCAGTTCCATGCGTGAAACAATTGACCTAGAAGTTAAATATGACAAATCAAAACAGGAACCTTATTGTCTCTTCACCTCTTCTTTTACACATGATTAAAATGGCATTACCAGGTGAGATTTAAGTACACTAGAAATAAATACAGGCAGAAGTTCGGAAAAGTAAAAAGAAAGAGTATTTAAGTTTATACTGACTCTCTAATTAGGCATTCCTCCTGTTCCCATCCTGGCCTGCACCAGGGTCTCACACTGGCTGCGGTGATGGAGCTGTCTATTTAGCAGACCTAGAGAAATACAACTTGCCCAAAATCTATGTAATTTCTGTTTCTCATATGATAACACTCAGACAATTCAATTTGCTGAATCCTTTGCTCAGCTAGTTTAGCTACAGCTCCTATAAGGAATAAATCATATAGCCATCTACTACCTAATCATTGGTCATTATTCAAACTAATTTAAAATGCAAGCTTGTTTTCCACTATAATTCAAACCATTATTCCAAGGAATGTATGTTCTGACTTTTCTCCACAAATAAATTATTTTATGTAGTAAGAGTATATATAATGAATCTATCTATTTTTACATATGTGCTCATACAAACACACAAGTATATATAAACACAGGACGACAAAACACACATAAGTTAGCAGGAAGTATTTCCCAAAAGAATTCATTTAAAGTATATTTTAAAAAGGGAAATCTGAGGCATTTTACCTGTTTTATAACTCTGTGATCTATATATATCCCTGAGTTCTTTCATAAGTCGATCTGAAGCCTGAACTGACCCAGAGACTGCACCCTGAAACAAACAAAAAAGACACCAAATAAGTGAGAAGTAATATTCACTATTTACATTACAATATTTACAGCTTTACATTACAAAGTTACACTAACTAGAAATTATTAACAATTTCTGTATGAGAATATTTAACATTTCAGAAACATTCTAGTGAGCAAAGTCTACTCCAAAGAAACAAGGCCCTCCCCCCTAAAGAAGCACATTAATATATACTACTAAATACTACAGGTGATACAAACTTTTAATCAAGGTACAACAGGTATTTTTCTGTAAAGAAACCTAAATCTTTGGCATTTTAATTTCATTTCCAAGATGGATGCACAGTACATCTTAAGAGGGAAATATTTAATTTTACATTCTGCTTTTACACACTGGGAGGAAGAGTAAGCCTAATCCTAAGCTTCTACACATAAGGTTTTATTGCCTTCTCAGAGGTATATTTCTATCTGGTCATTGAAAAAGGCACAGGAGGTGGGAAGCATCCACTCTAGAACGGCAGCTTGCTGAGGAATAAGACCAACCAGTGAATTTAGCAAACATGGAACAAAAGCAGTATTTATTGCAATTGAGTGAAAGAAGATCAACATCTACACAGGGGAAGACAAAAGTAAGTAAACCTTAAAATACCAAATTATTTCTTGTGATTGTCCATAGTTCTTATGATTTATGCAACCAGAGCAAAAATCCCTTCTGTTCTTTAAGAGCTCAGCTCTGTACTGCTCAGCAGCTCAAAGTGAGAGAAAAACTTATAACACAATATTCTTGTAAGTTACGCGATTACTCTGCTTATACATCCCACCCGAAATACCACTTCAGGCTCAAGAGTTTTGAAAAACAGACTGATAAAAGTTAGCCTTATAAGATTTAAAATACAGAATAGGAACAAATGAGCTAAGGCAGTTAGCACCCCAAACCCTGACCCAGTGACACTTGGACTTTCACCATCAGTCTGTTTCCCAAGGGTACATTATCCCATTGGACCTTTGCAGTTCCCTTCTGCTCCTGTTCTTCAGTCACTGCCACTGAAATACAGGCTAACATATGGAGCTCATAAGTATGGCTAGGGGGAAGAAACCATGATAAAAAAAATAAAATTGCCCCCACTACCAAATAAAAAAAGACCAATCTAGAATAATTCAGCCTGTCTGTATCAAGAATTGAATGATTAAGTTGATGAGGCTGCTTTTTTACTCAAAAAATTCAAAGATACTTATTTCTTCAGTTTCCTTCCAGACATTATGAACACCTATAAACACATCCTTTTTGGACAGAAGCGTCAGAAAAGCATGTCTGGAAGAATATCAAGCAGCTGTGACCATTGCCTAATACCTGAAACATCATCCCCATTTGCCTGAAGTCCACAGTGATGTTTTATATTCCACAAGGTCTTAATTCTTAATAAAAATTGAGTATCAGTCACAGTTACTTGATGGTAAAGCCTTCACATAGTCCTCTGCCTTCTCTATCCAGTAGTATCAAATAATACTCTTAGCTTCACACTAGATCTGCAGATTTTTCTTTTAAGGCTATTCATTTTCATACACCTTTGCATTTAATTATGCAGATTTCTGAAATTCCTTTAGTTTTCCTTAACAGAACGGTATGAAGGATGAACCTTGTAATTAAACATGCAAATAACAGACAACTCCTTTCATCTGGTTAAACAAAAACTACATAAAGACAGGGTTTCACACAAGTAATTTCTTCATTTACTACCCCCCCACCTCTACAGAGCAGTATTAGACAAAAGGTATTTCTCAAACACCAAATACATTAAATTTTATGGAAAATGGTTGCTTATACGCAGTATCTGCGTATTACTACTATTTATGTCCACTATTTACAGATTAGCTGAAAAAGAAACATTACACTTAAGCAGTTAACACAACAGTGTTAACCATCATTCTTTGTATATTTGCTGTACTTTGTGAGTGTTAAGATTGAGACTCCTCAGTTTGTTGAGTCTGGAGGAAAGAGGTTTCCAGAGACAAGTGTCAAGACTTCTGAGCAGAGCTGTGCAGATCTTTGCCCCTTCCACTGTATTTCTTACTGCAAGAAGGAATTTTCTTACACTTTCCACAGATTGTCAGCCTATAAATAGGCAATTTAAGAACAAGTTAGATGGTCAAAGACATCCTGTGGAAAACTACCTCTCTCACTGCATCTCTATTTTCATCCAATTAAACTACTGAATTTCTATCCATAATGTTGGAAGTTCATCTTGGCAAATGAAAATGTAAGTATCTTCTATACTGGAAACATTTAAAAACCAAAGCTTAACACACCCACATCCCCCTGAGTGCTATTAAAGCTACTGATACATAAGGTGATATTAAAGAAGCTAGTTGTAGTGTGTGTAAGCAAGCCTCAACACACTTTGTCTCTAACAGTTTTTCACCCTTTTTTCCCTAGGAGTTTCTGGTTGAGCTGCCCATTCCTTAAATAGCAGCACTAAATATAGTTACACTTGCTACTCTAAAGAATCAATGGACTGCAAACCAGTAATCTACAACCAGGAGAAAGAAGACAGCAAGCTTAACTTAAGAAGTTTAGCACAAGAGCTTATTTTATGTGCTCTGAACTACCCTTGGAGGAACCTGAAGAAGGTAACAGCTAAACCTGATGGTAAGCCTAATGCCAAACACCACTGCTCTGAAGCACGTCTCCATTCTGGTGTCACTTGCGGGTTTTGGAGCCACTGGAAAGAGCAGTTTAGAAGAGAGCACAACTTGCATCCCACTACTGCACGATACAGAGCATTGAGGTCAGTTTTGACTACAGTGATACTAAAATTAAAAACTTTTTCCATAACTCACTACACTCAAGTGATAGTTTCAAAGACTGAACTCAGATATAAATAACAGTATCCTTCTGGAAAAGTGGGACTTGACACTCCAAGGGAGATAAAGTTCCCATTTCTCAAATTGTGGCAATAAGATTTATAGTTGCAACTGCCTCAGACATAAGTGGTCAATCATGGGATCTGTCACATGGTGCTGATGCCAAGAGCAGAAAGGCAAAGCCATTTCATCTGAAGTAATTAAATGAGCAGCCAGACCAGACCCAAGTGACTTTCGTTTTCCCTATTAAATAAACAAATAGGCAAAAAAAGTCTCACTTAATCGTGCTGTCCTGTATTAGCTTATTTTGTGTCTCTCCAGAACAGTAAGCAGGTAAGCTGGAGAAATCCCTGTTACAAGAGGCAAACATCTTTGTTGACAACATGCCAGTTGCTGAGAGCTGCAAGTAACAAAATTATCTGATGTAGGAATTCTCACATCCAAAACCGTTGGACATGAAAAATATTCACGAGATGCATCACTACAAGCCTGCAACATTCTCAAACTCTTCCCCTCAAGGATGAGGCACTGCTGGAAACATGAAACTCGTGCTGCAGTCAGACCAGCACTTGCCATTGCCCTGCTGTACAAAGGGCAGAGACATCAGGGGGTTCTCTTCCCCTTCCTACCCTCAAAATGCACCCAGAGCCTGTTCTTCCTGCTAAGTTATAGGGGATAAGGAGGCGCAGTTCATTGCAGTTTTATATCCAAAGATCTGATTTCTGTCTGATCAGAAAAACACTGTGAACACATCAGAACACTACAGGAAGCCTCCTCACTCAATATATTTCAGAATATTTAGCCACAAGACTAAAAATTACCTGCTGAAATAAAACAAGAAAACTTGTCCAAGATAATAAACTGAAATCTAAAATGACCCAAAAAGAGCTAAAGAGCACAAGTTCCATTGTCACTGAACTTTCTCCATATTTGTGCAGAAGCACATGCATTCCTAGAAGTTAAAGTAGGTTCATACCTCCTTCAAGGATTAGGAGACTAAAAATAGAAATGACACCTTACATTTCATAAAATCTGAAGATGAAAGAGACATTGGAGACTTCTAAAGGGAAGTGCTTAAATTCCTCAGTATGAAACAGGAAAAGCTAATAGTATTATCTAAAAAAGAAAGGCATTAATCTCTAAAATGACTATGCGGGGAGAGACCTCTGAAAAGCAAGCAGCAGCAAGTTGATAAATATTTGAAGTTAATGATTCCAGTTCAAAGACCTTTTTTAACTCCAGGTATGCAAGTGGTTCTTTAGCATTATTACAATGTTAAGAGAAGGATTAATTCTTGCTCCAAGTTACATACTGTACCACAAGCCAAATTTATTTCCTGATGCCAGCAAGAAGAATGGGATTAAGAATACTGCCAAGGACAGAACTCATTTACAAAATTAGTAAATATACCTTCTTAACTTGTACAACACACATAAACCCTAAAAACTCCTGTAACAACATCCTGAGAAGCAGAAAATTGTCTTTAACTTATCAGGAATAAATGAGTGGGGTGCATGCACTGCTTTTCCATGAACAAGCCTTGAGTGTGATCTGTAACTCCAGCCTGCAGTGCAGCCAAGGGGAGAGAGGACAGCCCATGGACTTGGGCCAAAGAACATGGAAAGGAACTGTAAAGTCTTCTGGCTGCACTGGGCACCAGTCACAGCACTGTATTATGCTGCATATTCCCTTTTCCAAGAAGCAGCATGTCAATAGCATGGGTTTGTTTTACTGGACTCTGCTGAGGAAACAAAGTATCCCAAAAGGCTGCATGGCTCCTGTGAAAAAACAGACTAGGTTTAGCCATGCATTTAGGTTTGAGAAACTCCTGCCATCCTCCAAGAAACCCAGCTATGAGGGCTACACAGACTTAAATCTTGCTTTGTGCTAGGACACTCAGCAAACTTCTTCTCTTTTAGAGCATAGTTACCACATTGTATTAGAAGCCCCCTGTTTTGGCAGCATGGAGGACCAATAAACTTGGTCCTGGTGCTACTGGGTTAGCTCTTTCCTAGGTCAGTAGCACAGCTATAGATTTTGGTTCTCCAGCACCTAAGAGTAAACCCTCGCAAGTCCTTGGAGAAATTATTTCAGCAGCACAGCTATTTCTGGTGACCCACAACAATACCACAGTTCCTCAGCAGTAACTGAATACCCTGTTCCCTGTATTCAGCTGACCTTGTTTATGCACCAGCATCAACGAGAGTGTCTTGGCATGAGAAGCAGCTATTATGTAAGTTGAATCTGCTGTTGTCAAACAGAAAACCAGCAGTGTTCATTTCAGCTCTACTAAACGTGGAGGGAAAAAGCAAAAGGAAAGGCAGTATTTGCCAAATGGGAAAAGAACAGATAAAAGGAAATGCGCAGTTTTAAGAGGCTTTCTGCATCAAAGAAGAATGCTGACACTACAAAAACCTTTTTTCTGTTCTACCAAATTTTCGATGATTGTAAAGCAGGCCATGCCTTTCAGGCTGGGAGAGGATATCTTCTCTTTAACGGTTAAAGACTCTTTACTATTAGGATTGAGTTATACACACTGAAACATACAAAACCTCACTAGGCATCTTAAACTGTGAACATTCAAGTCTAAACAAAACCAGAAAGTGACTGTTGTGTTTATGGTTAGTCAAGTCTCAAAACCAGACTTGACTATACAGCCAAAGCAGTTTGGGGCCTTACATTTACCTGCTTTTAAACCCTGAAATGCCAATCAGGTTTGGGTGTTAAAATTTTAAAATCCTTTGGATGAAGCAGATCATAAACAGAAGTAATTAATTTCATGTTTTACACATTTTAAGCCTCTATGAAACAAAAGCTTTGATTTCTTTGGGAGTCAGGGTAAATAAAATTAAGATTGTATGACACTATCACACCCTCTTGCATGGACCTTTGAGAAATAGAAGCCTCTCTGGAACCTAGCACTTGGGACAGAACACTTCTGGAGTTCTAAGCCTCTGGAGAACAAGCACTTTTTCTACAACTGCCTGCTGGCAAGATCACTCAGAAAACTGACAACAAAGCTGCAGAGCTGCTGAAGGCCCCTTACTTTACACATGGCAATAAAAAACCAGCACAACAATCCACCACCCATCAGTAACTTCCAGGTGGAACAGCTATTATTGAAAAACTCAAGCATAAAATGGATTTAAATCACAGGTTTACCAAATATTTTAAGTCACCCGTAACTTTTAATACAGGCAATTTTAATTATGGCTTTAGTTTTTTTACTTTAATAAGGGTTCAGCAACAAAAGTCACACTCACAGCCTAGATGCACTCTGCTGATTCTGCAAGGAGAACTAATGTTTGTGACAAATGTACCAAGCAAGAAACGGAGGGACAACTGTTTGCATGGATACCTCTGGATATGAGCAGTTAAACCATTAGGGACAGGTTAGGTGCATAGCAGTGGGCTTTCTTTGCTGAAAAAAAATTCTATTTTAAAGTCAGAAGTATTGGAAAGAAGAAGCATGGAATCATTAACTCACATTTAAGTGATCTTGCCTTTGATTTTTTCTGATTTTTTCTAAGATTGCAAGGTTCTCTTTTTCAATGCCTTCATCCTCAGATTTCTTCCCATCAGCTGGTTCCTCCTCCTTCATATCATAGTGATCCAGATCTTCAATGTCCTACAGGAGAGAGAGAAGGTAATTGTAAATAACTGTACTGTGCTCTTCATTCAATGAAACCTTCTCCAAGGGCATGTTGGATATAGTCACATAGTGCACTTCATAATACAAATGAAACCGAAATTCACAACATATTCTGGTCACAGAAACAAGCACAACCTCTGCAAGAAGATAGGATTGTAGAGAATTAGCCCACTCAAGTAGATAGCAAACCAGACTAGAGAATCCAAAAGTACCCCAAGTTAGGGAGGCTCCAAGATGTTTCTAAAAGCAGACTCTTTTGCAATTAGAACCCCAGCTATACTACACTTCTCACAAGCAGTGATTAACATACCTGACAGGGCTACAGCAAGCCTTCAAGAAAGTTAAATATTAGAAAACTATGTGTACTTTATTCAAGGTTAACATTTCAGACAAAGATTAGGTGCAGTAATTTTGGAATCAGGACATAAAACAAAATTCTGCGGTCAAGCGTTCTGATCACACAAGCCAACAGTTCAGTTCTATGTTCTAGGCCAAGGCACTAAAACCTGTCCACTCTGTACGCTGAGATGGGGTTATCTTGTTGCAGAGGAACATTCTGAGCTTCAGACAATCACCTAAATGTGACTCAAATGCTGGCTGTGGAAAGGAGGGGAAGCATGTAAATACCTTAGCATGAAAAAGGAAGCATTACAGCAGCCACACCAGCAGCCTTTGGTTACACAACTACCAGATATACTCCAGTATGCAGAGCTCTGCCACACCTGGGTGCTAGGAATAAGGTGTGATGATTGGCTCATGCAAATGTGGAGGAGTTATTAAGTATGGTAGGAAGAAGTTTTGTTAAGGTTTGTGGTTCTTTTGACATGTACTTTTGTGGTTCCAATTTGGTGTTGAACGCTTTCTGTTCTCCCCTCAATGCTCTCCTCTCCCTTTTGTGGTTACTGCCTGGCAGCTCTGGTCAAAAAGGGCTGTCAAAGCACGGAGGAGGATGTACACTTGCCCCTTGCAAGAGGTGGCAGGGAGTGAGGGACACTGGGTGCTGGGAGGCTTGGCAGACCAACATCTCACCACCAGGCAAGATGTGAGAGGGGCTCCACCAATAAAAGGCACGGAGTACTGACTGACAGACCTTGGGAGGAGCCAAATCTATATATAATGGGCAAAGCCATGGACTGTGAGAGGTGCTGGAAAGACATATAAGGACTGCTCAGGAATATTAATGAGGGTGAGGCAAACATGAGTGTATAAAAGGCAGCGACACCATTTTGTGGGTGAGCCTCTGGTGAGCTGAAGGAGTTTCACTACGCTCCCAGCGCTGGCCTCCACCTTTGCTTTGTAATTTTAACATTCTAATTAAATTTTATTTACTCATTCCCGCCTGGGGTCTGAGTCGTTTATAACATGGGGTTGCTCTCTATGCACCATCTGTTTGCATGGCAGGAAAACTCAAATTTAAGCACGCTCTATGTAACAAGAAACACACCTGGTACATTTGATAAGTTTCCTTCAGCTGTAACAGACTTTAGACTGAGTATTGTTCAAAATGCTCATGTTTCTCCAATGACAGTGCCAAGGAATTGTACACTGCTTCTGCATTTAGAACTGGAACTAAATTACAGGTTGCAGATATCACTACTACACAGAATGCCCCCTGACAGCTGATAAATAAAGGGAGACCATTTCTTTTTTGTACAAAGTAACCCAAACAATGCAAAAGGTTACTCTAGCAGTCTGCAAGCAACCAGAGCCTTGCAAGAGCAGGATATGGGACACATCTTTGCAGAAACACCTGCTCCAGCAAACATAGTTTGGATCAAGCTAGATATGGTTTAAGAAAGGCTGCTTCAAATTAATTTAAGAATTTGGTAACATTTAGATCTTTTCTACAGGTAGATCATTTATTCAGAGAGAGTTACCATTCTTTCTACACCTTCATTAAAAAAAATCTAAATCTGAAGTAGTCAGAACAGTTCTACTATAATAAAGCAACTTACGGTAGTATAGAAAGCAAGCACCTTGGAGCTATTCTAACATGTAGCAGAAACAAGCAAAAAGGGTGATTCTTACAACTAAAAAGCTCATTAAAGACAGCACCATGTTGCCAGACATGGACATAAAAATTTCATGTGTCTGTTTTGATGTCCTTCCATTTCTTTCAATTTATTACAGTCAAAACCTAGCTCACCCATGCAATGAATCAGCAGATTTACTCTTAGCCAGTCTACTTCAATTTGGGAGGCACTTCCAACTGTATCAGAGCCAGTTCACATGCTGCTTGAAGTAGGAGTTAACAATGCAAAAACTTACTGATTTGGCACACAATGTTATGTATTGTTTGACTAAAGCACAAACAGATGTCCAATTCTCTGTATCCAACCTCACAGCTGAGATCTAGGTTTAAGAAGAAAATTTCACTAGTTTTCTGGTTGAAGGGAAAGCTGACATTCAGGTAAACATCCAAATTTTAATTATCTTTTCTGCTGAACTCCAGGGAGGTCACATTTTACAATAATGGTTTAATTATTAACCAGAAATCGCAGAGCAAAATGCCAAAATTCTACTAGATTAGGACAACAATCTCATATATAGACATACTTCACCCATATCTTCTTCCTCCTCCTCCTCTGATGTAACTTCTTCTGTTGTTCCATTCTGCAATATAACAATGAAGGTTCTGCATAAATTCTGTATATGCTTCTTGCCCTCAAAATCAGCAAGTCTACTCTCAAAGAGAAGCCGTAAATGCAAAAGTTACATGTTAAACTTCAGTCCCTTCAAAATTCTCAATTTTTCAAGTGCACAAGAAGTAAGCATCCCTACCCAAAGTAACATATGGCTTTGATATCCCATGTCTCTGCAAGGGATTGAAGAAGGAAAACATCAACACTAGTTCATCCAGGTGCACACTGTGAAACACACACTCTTCAACAAAGAGCCAGATATTTCAGAAAAAGTAAGTTTGGGAAGCACTCCAAGTACACAGAGATTGGCTTTAGTGTTTAAGAGTGAATTAAACTTGACAGCACTGGTATCCCCTTGAAGTATCCTTTCAGTGATACTTCAAAGAGAATTGTGTAATATTATCACACCATTATTAAATGGATTTTGCAAACAAAATTCAGATTGAAGACACCATAATGCAAAAGTGCATCATATCAGCTCTGGTTTACACAAGGTTTAATCATTCCCATTATCTTGCTTCTTGGAGTTAAAAAAAACAATGCCTTCATTGGCATAAGAAGGTGCACATAGCTTTTAAATTTACCTGTCCAGCTGGCAATGGCTGATCTAACATTTCAACATCTGGATGCTGAGGAAGATTATATAATCTGCAGAGGTCACATATTAATCGCTTCAGCTGCTGAAGAAGCTATAAAAAACAGGAAAACATGGATATGTTTATTTAAACCAAAGCACAGAGATATATTCTGAATTTTCTTTACACATTGATAATGAACTTAAAGTAAGTGTACAGCATTTGAATCTGCTCAGGCTGGAATAAAATTTCCTCTGTAATATTTGTAGTAAAGTCCTCACATTAGAAGCTCAAGGACATGGTAAGTTAATGATGACTCTCATTCATCTTCCTACAACTAAGAAAAAAGCCATGAGCAGAAAAATAATTCGCCCTGACAGTATCATCCATTCCAAATACAGGTGTCTGAGCTACACATCACTACGGAATAAGCAAATGGTCACATTCCATGAGACAAAATGGTCCATTCCCATTTCCCAGCTTAAATAACCACATCTTCAAAAAACTTGCCAAGGAAGAACAGTGTTTTGGAAGGAACAGTATGGAAAACAGAGGTTTTCCATATCCTGAATTCTTTTACAAGGCACACCAGCCAGGCAGTAGAAACAAGACAAACCCTGTCAAAGTCCCAGGAGCCAGGCAGGCTTTGAACTGCAGCCCAGGCACTCTGCTTGCTGTATCTTGTGTCAGGGTGAGGCACAATCGGTTACTATCTATGACTTGTGTTTCCAACCTGCAGCATTCCATTGATTGTGCTCTGTTAACTGCAAACTATGCAACACTTCACACTTGCTAATGCAAGCCAGGAAAAAAAAATTACTTCTGCAGAAACAAACGTTAAGTTTGGTCTTTGATCACCACACTAAGTTGATTTCTACAGCTGTTCACTTTCTCTAGGAGGCAACTCAGATTCATACTTAAGGCCAAGACATGAAAGACTATACTACTGCATTTCCTAACTTTCCAAGGTCTTTGCACAGCTATGTCAGGAAAACAAAAAAAAGACTGCAAAATCCATTTGTAGAAGGGTCAACATCTCATTATTTGCAAAATAATACCCTAGATAAAGCTTGCAGAAATTATACATCCATTTAAGGACTTTTCTTTCAGATACCAAGGAGAATTTGTCTTGCCAATTGTTGAAGGCAGCGTGCAAGACAGTCATTTCTGCACACACACTTGAAAATACACGTCTAAAACCTTGCTATTGGCCAGTTTAAATGCTGTCACCTTACCCCACTGGAAGTGAAAAATTGTCTTTCCAGGGTTAAGAGCTCATTTCCAAGCCCAAATCACTAAGAGTGATAGGCAAATGTTGCCCTTATGCTATCTGAAAGTTTCAGTGCTTTTCCCTTCCACAGCAGAATTCCACATTGTGTTTCATAGGAATGCTATTTATCCGAGGCCATGAACTGAGATACCAGCCTGCATTACAACACTATCACACCATGTCTGCTGTTTCTGCATCATTCACGAGAGTCAACCCAACCCAAAAATAAAGCAGATAATCAACCTAACTTAAAAATAAAGCTGATATCACCAGAAGGACTGGGACACCAGCACCACATTTCTTAGGAAAATATACATGAGACATGATAGATTTTGGCAAAAACCCTTCTGTTCTGTAACAACCACATTTCTCATCAGCATTAAGACTCTACACTTCTTTGAAGCTTCCTGGGTACCTGGAACATCAGGAAATCTTTCAGCAGACAGGAATCAGGTTAATCAATCAAAAAGTTAGTTGCCAGATAGAATCAGAGGTCTTAGAACTATTATTTTCAGTATGTGCAAGATGCTTAAAGTTGCACTGCTACACATTTTGTTGATAAACTTTTTCTCTGCATGAACATTGCCTCATGGAGAGCTGGAGCACGAACCATACAATCCCAGGAGCTGTAATTCTTCTCACAGAGGCAATAATTTGTTCACATCTTCTGTGAATCATACAAAAAATAAATCCAAGCAGTGAGGGAAGACTGCCACCATAGGCATTTGCTGGTCAATTAGCACTGGCCTTGGAAAAGCAGATAAACACAGTATTAGATGTGCCTTGACAGAGAGACAATAAGGGCTGGAGAGTTAAGAACTGCTTGCGGCCCTGCTTCCTTCACTCCCTCCCCCTTCCTCCCTACAAAATGTCCTGTCAGCTGAACTGAAATTCAGAAGGGATTTTTGCAACCAGGACCCAACACACTGTAAGCTTCCCTTACTTCCAAGCACAGCACCACAAGCAAGGAACAGGAGCACCCTCAAAATAACAAGGTGCTGCCACAGCCTGGGCTGAGTTACAGCTGTGCCTGGGGAGAGCCTCCAGCAGCTTTTCACCTTCTCATTTCCACTGTACCACAGATCACACTACTATGTGGCAACTTATCAGCTTTGTGGCAGATCAATTCCTGGTGTGCTTCAGCACACAAGCACCATTTCATCATGAAGGGGGAGGCAAAGACCTGCTGAGAGAAGGGATCCTCTTCCTTGGCAGGATTCTACATTGCAGGGTCAGCTTAATGCAACTCATACCACAGTTCATTTTTATAGATCAGCGGCTTACTTAAAATCAGTGTCTACAATTTGCAAAGGTGGTGGCAGAGCAAGAAGCTGATCCTGTCTGTACAACCCTCTCACACTTCTTCATTATTGCTACATTTTTCCTCCGCAGGAATTGATTTAATACCATTGATCTTTCTGCCATCGATCACCATCACTGTTATCCTTTATTCTCTGCTCATCTGTATGAAAAATCACAGGATAATTTCAGCTGAAAGGCATATCTGGAAGACATCTGATCCAGTCCTGTGCTCTAAGCAGGGCCTGGCATGGTTTGGTATATGTTGGTATGTACACAAACAGACTATCAAAAGGGAGTGCAGATTTCTGTCGTGTATTAATAATTTAAATATATTTCCAGGGTAACTCCACAGGCTTGACTAATGTAAAATGAATGCTTAACACACACTTGGAGGCCACTGAAGAAAAGTGAGCTATCAGTACACCAGTAGTTTCCCTGGAATACAAACTGCCTAAAGCACAAAGTAAACAGCAACTAGAACTCATAACCCACAGGGTAAAGGAGCAATGTGAAGAGCCTGCAGAAGGGAAACCCTCAAATCATCAAATACAACACATTAATAAATTTGTTATATTTATTATAATTAATATCAAAATAACAAAAATTACACCATTAGAATACACATCCTCTATAATTTTTAATGCTTCAGGAGTTCTGAGAAGTTGGTGGTTCTTTTGCACACCATAATGCTGGTTTAGAACACAAGTACCTCTTGGAATTTTGCTTCCTATCTTAATGTCCTGTACATCTGAAAACAGTTTAGAACAATTTTTTCTGAAACCCAGCCTACACTAGGAAGCTTTTTTGATGTATGAAGAGATCTTTCTAATGCAGTATGAAAGCATTAACAATTTTAGGATACCTTTGATGAGATTAATATCCCGCTGGTTTCACTATGAAATGCCCCGTTTCCTGACTACCAGGAAAAATGAATTTAAGAAGTACAGTTTAAGCATGGAAATAATTATTCTATGTGTCTCTACCTATACCCACAATATCTGTATAAAAATAAATGCATCAATAAGTCTTAGTATACCACTGAGAAAGTGCTGAAGAAAGATTCAAATGGAAACGGAGGGAAGGAATAATTGTCACTTGGAGCGTGGCCACTACTTGGTTATCAGGTAACAGTGACAGTAGCTCACCTGGCCTCCTCCACAACCAGCAGCCTCAGGCAGTTTCAAAATAAAGCAAAGCTGATTTCTGCATTTTGTCTCTGCAACTCCCAGTGCAGAAATAGGTGCTGCCACACAAAGTTTGCATGAGACAACGTTCTCCCCTGAAATGCCTCCATGCGGGACTTAATCTGTAATATTAACACGGAAGCAGAGTACTTCAAGACAGCAGTTTATCCAAGCTGTAAACATACTTACGCCAGGAATTGTGTATTTACTTTTGACATCTCCCAGACAAGTATAAGGTTGAGAGTGTAAGAATTAAAGCTGACTCTCTCAATTTAAGCACATTTCCCTATTCTCTTCAAAAAGCAAACCTCCAAAATTGTGTAGAGCTATACTTAACATTTCATGAAATGACATTTGAGGCTTCAGACTTGCATCATGTAACTTCCATAATATTAAACAGAACAAGGGAATCACAGTAAGATCTCTCTTTTGCATAGCACAGCCACTAGAAGGCAGATGGCAGTTTCATACTTAGGAAGTCTAAAGTTTGGCTGATTTTTCAGAAGGAAATTCGGGAGACACTAGGGGCTAAAAGAACTCTGTAGCCTCATCTACTGACTGAAACTTGTCCAAAATTGACAACCAAGCAGCTAAGCTGTCCAAACCTGATGATATCCACGCTGATCACATTCTTAATAACCTTTCAACATTTTCAGTGTTTTGACAAGTTCTCATAGCAAAAGCAGCATGGCTGGTGCAAGGTAACTAACACAGTTTCAGATCCACAGAAGATTTTCCAGGGAACACATGTATGATTTCAACATCATAAACCAGTTTTTGTTTTACCATGTCAAACAACGAGGCTTCCACAGGTCAAACATTTATGCCTGAAGTGCTTGTTCTTCAGTTTCCCAACAGCTGACACCTGTCCCATGCTACAAAGCAGGTAGAAAGGGCAGTGGAATACCAAAGGCTAAACCAGGGTACATGTGCTAGCACTGCTTTTCGCACAGCTTAGCTCCTGGAAGAGTCAAATGCCTTTTCCCATTCAAAATTTGACTGCTCCAGTAACCTTGAGTTTAGAGCAATATGGCACTGATGATCTTTCACCTGCAGTAAATTAAAAGAAAGCTAATTTGAAACATTCTAGATGATTCTAAATTAAACAAAGTGAATTTTTACGAGACTGTGATAAATTAGAAGCATTTGGATTTTTTATCCCTTCCTACTCTGCTGCAAGAGTCTCTGTGTGAGCTGTTCCATGCCATTGAAAGGGAGAGTGTTGCATGGGGAAGAGTTATAGGGAAAAAAAAAACCCCAATTAAGAAGTTTCAAATCATGTCTTTTGAGCAAAAAAAGCAGTCAGATTTTGTACTGCAAGTATTTGTCTCCTCAGCCACTCCCATCTGCCTTCACCTTGGCATAGCACGATGCAGGGTGTATTCCTGAGAAACCAATGGGCCATCACAGGTGTCTATTACATCAACTCATCAGCTTTTACATGGGCAAGTACAATCTTGATAACAGAAGCTGTTTTCTTACCAGCTACATAAGCAGTCTGTGTGCATATGCAACTCAGCACAGCAAATCCCATGCATGTACACAACAAAGCTTTCCAGCCTCTTGCAGGCAACTGCACACAGGAAATATCTTGTCCAGAACCTTTAGGCTGAATATCAAGCCACACCAGCTTCAAGCTACACAATCTTCTGAAAAGAGTCTTAAAGCAAAAAGCTCATTTGGCCAGATTGTCTGCTAGTACCCCTTTCTGTGTCTTTCCAGACAAAGACTAAGATTTATAATACTCTTCTGACTGTAGTTCAGTCTAAATTTTAAACTGAAATAGAAAATACAGATATGTACATCTTGCACAGTCAAATCCAGCAAAATTAATGAAAACACTAATGTTCCTCTACAATTGTTTTTAATTATGGCAAGGCCCACAATGACTCACTTTTATTAGTTTCCTAATTATTTCTGCTAGAAATCAAATGCATCCTAAACTATCTTCAGAAAGACACTTGTGCATTTTTATTTAAAGCTGGGTATCCTAGATGAACATTATCCCAGTAAACCTAACAAGTAGGTTTTCTTAAGAAAGAACATTCCAAATTTTTCCCAAACCAGACAAATACTAAGCACATAATTCATACAATAAGCAGTATTCTGCAGACTGATTTGTTTTGTATGCATCCCATTCATGTCCACCAAAATAAACAAAATGCTAGTATCATCTGTTAATAAAGATTACCTGAGTTTGTCAGCATGTTGCAATACTCCTTTTTGTGGCACAAACTGCATTTGTACTTAAATTTATTTCCAAGCACTGTTTAAAGACAGTTTCCAACACAGAACAGGAAGTTAATTTTTGTATTAATGTGCCCCTCCCTTGAGCTCCCATTGGTACGTGAAAAGGGTATTTAAGTAAGATATAATGCTTGAGTTTTCTGAAATCCAAAACCATCAGAATCTGTATACAAAGATTTCCTTTAAGTAGCAATTGTCCGAAGTCGCAACACTGCTAAGGAACACCTTCATGAACCAGAAGCTACCAGGTCAAGTTTCCTTTGAAAAAAGGAAAGAATTCAAGAAACCAAGAATTCTTGGTATTATTGTCATGTTTTGGAGGCTACACATTCTCAAGAGTACAAAGTTTTGCCTCTGGAATTGACTTCTGTGCAAAGAAAACTCTACAACACCTGTTTCTTTCAGCAGTTTTAATATTTTTACCCACTTTGCAGTTTCATTATTTTCAGAAAACTTCACACTGTAATTACTGGGGTTGAAACTTGACTTCAATGCTTACTCTCTAGAAGAAGGTATCTTTTCCTTCTTGCCTCAAATCTTTTGGATTACTTTTAGCTCATAAGTTTTTTTGGAAGAGAAAGTTGTGTTTATAAAATCCCCCAAATAACCCCAAAACTGAACTAATTGACCTATACTTGTTAATGTGACAAAGTCAAGTAAACACACTAGGCCAAGTAAATGCCCAAAGTAACCAAAATACTTCACTCACCAGAGTATTGCTCTTCTTAATATCTTCTAAACGTTCTAAGACTGAAGTCAGGTTTGGGTCATCTGATTCTACAAACCATATTGGTGATGAAGAGGGGTAAGATTCCTGTTTAAAAAAGAGAAACAACACAAGACCCAACAAATAAACAAAAAATCCCAAAGCTTTTAAAAATCATTTACCCCCAAAATTCCATAACACAGTATTAATACCACCTTTAATCTTACTCTGTGTCAGGTAACACAGAATCTTTTAACACCACATTTTAAGCAATGCAAAAGAAATTGAAAGAAATCCATCCAACTCGTTCTTCTAGTATTTCAACTGATTTTTGTCTCAGATGATGGATATACATAAGAAGCAGTGCTGAAATGTTTAAAACCTTGGGGGCAGGTGGAGCAGGAGGGACAAATTTAAATATATCTAGGTATGGGTGATTATTAGCAAAAAAAAAAAAAGGAACCACAAGTAGTTCATGTCAAAAAATAAAAGTGATGCTGATTTTTCATAATAACACAGCTACCTGCATAGAAAAGTTGTGAAAGCAATAAAACTTGGAGTCTTTAGATTTCCTCCTCAAACAGGATTATTGAAACTCTTCTAGCACCAACCCACAGACAAAAGCAATACAGCTCAAATGTCCTACCTTGAAGGACAGTTTAACTGGCAGATCACAGTCCCAAAATCTGCCATTTTATCTTTGTACCACCAAGGCTCATAGAGGACATCCCACTGTTGAAGATTTCTCATGCAATACACTGCATCCAGGAAAGCTTATGGCATAACTCCATTCCATCCAGAGAGTCCCACAGCCGGCAGGCAGGCACCAGGACACAGCCAGGTGACACCAAATGGGCTCACAGGATTACAAGTGTTCTCCATTTGTTTTTTTGCACAACAAGCCATGGTGTGGGCACATGGAACCCATGGAAGAGACACAGCTCATGGGTGCCACTAAGGTGCCACAGAATGCAGCCCTTCCAAAGGTGCTTGGCAGACCCCCTGCTACAGAAAGGTAAACAGAAACCCTTTGGTTCTTGTTCAGATGTTTCAAAAACCAATTCCAATTTTCTCCTCACACAGGTTCGGTGACATTGTGAGGATGGAAGATAACATGTAGCTTCCAACTCAACAGTAAGTGTACCTTCATATCATTGATTTTAGTTATTTATTTTAGTTATTTAAGGCATTCTCCACTTCTCACCCTTTCAATTAAACTTTAGTAGCTGAGGACAAATTGCTGAACCTCGGTTTTATCACACAGATATTATCTTTGTGTCCCCAGGTCTTACAAAATAATGAGGGAATTTTCATTCATTTCCCTCACTGCTGTTGAAAAGGGAAAAAAAAATCCACCTCTCTCATTCCAGAGACAATAAATTATGTTTCAATCTTCAAAAGTTAACAGGCAAGGCTTGAAAACTGGAGGAAAATACAAGCATGTCAGAACTGGCTTTTAATAAAGTGTGTTTCCTAACTGACCTTCTATCTGAAGTGCTGAACCCCATAAACAAAGCCATATGACTAAAGAACATCAGCTTTGGCAAAACAGGCTGACACCATACACCATAGAAGTTCTAGATACAGCAGTCTAAAATTCCCATCTTCGGCAAACTGAAGCCTTTGCATAAACTTATTTTTTAACAAGTTCAATCCCCTCAAGTTTATGTATAATTTTTTTTTCTAAATCACAGCTACAAACTTCTTAAAGGAATACATAATATTCCCAGTATCTTTATGAAATGACAAACTCTTCACATCTTTCATCTTCACTTCAAAGCACACAATACACACTATACTATGCTTTGCTTGCTCTTTGTACTTCTTGATGAGAATGTTGGTGTAATATAAAGTCATGGTAGTAGTGTTTCCCCTACTGCTTTTCTCTTAACTTCATGAGCTGCACTGAGAAGTTTGGGTCTCAAGAACAGCTGGGTCAAAGAAGTATTCAGGCAGTAGGGGCCACAGTTAGCAGAGATTCCCTTGTGTTGCTCCCCCACAAAGCAGAGACCTTGGAATATCTATTCTTGATTAACTAAGGCCTAACATCTCAAATACCTATCAAAAAAGTCAAGTACTCAGCTTGCCAAGATTTATGGCTAAGGCAGGCTTACAGATGTGGTTTAATCACTTTCTTTACATAACACAGTACTTGAGAAGAGTATTTTCTTCTCAGTTTCACTTAATGGATTAACCACTATCTCTGTGGGAGAAACAAGGCTAAATTCTCCATTGCCACTGGGTTTCTAAACTGTTATTTTTAGGAGTTAATTTCATTAAAGGTATTTCAGGTTTCGTACTGATAACATCTCACTCACTTTTAATAACATGCAACCTACTTGTGAAGTCTTCTGCACTGGTGCAACCTTCTCACCTCAAGCCTTTCCCACTGCACACTGACCTGGATGTGCAGGGGGAACAATATGAGGGAATCTCTGCGATTCACTTCACAGTGCAGCTCATGAAGTTAAGAAAAAGACAGTAAGGGAAACACTACTACCATGACTTTATATTACACCAACATTCTCATCAAGAAATACAAAGAGCAAGCAAAATCCCTTCCAAGATTCACCAAGCCATCTGTTTTTTAAAATCCTCAGACTCAACAGAATAAAAATATTCTCCAGATACAGTCACATTTGGACTGCGCATATATGCACCATTCTGCTAACAGGTATTTTTGGCTTTTTTTTTTAAATCAAGCATTTTTAAAATTATGTTAGTCCAGACCTCCAAAAATCTATTAATTGCAAAGATTTATAGAAGACAAGCACCTGCTGGTCCTCTCTTCCAAATCGTATCTGGAATCTGAAGACTGCTTAGAGAGTGGAACTCAACTCTTCCCTGTCTACACTCCTTTTCTCTGACAATTTTATTTCTCCTTTTTCAACCTAAAGAACAGCCCTACAGTAGGACATTCCTCATTGTAACCAGTATCTATTCCAGTCTGGGGGCCTATATAATTATCACCTCCAAAATACTTGCAGCACGTACATGTACATCAGCCAGATACAAGACTGACAGTGCAGATCTGATGATCAAGCAATTCCACTATGAGTTTAAATACATTGCAGTGGCTACTTGAACATGCTGCTACCCTCCTGCTCTGAGGGACAGTCCTTACTCGTGGTTTACACTCAACTCCATTTCGTGCCCTGAAAACAAGCCCTCCTGAAGGTGAGAAAACCTACAAGGGCTCAATGCTGCCTGGATTATGAGTGTATAGCACACATGAACGACTATGTCCTAAAGATTATTAACTATTAAATTTTTAGTCTCATCCAGCTTTTGAAACATGAATGG